AACAGTGACAAGCTCAATTTTACCACCTTGAAAGACGCAGCGCCCTTTCTTCATCTCATTGAGAGCCTGGGTATCTGCAATGGTTTTGATTCTCGTTTATGTCCTTTAATATCAACTTCTAAGACGGCTGAAAGGTCTGGGAGAACATGGAGAAGCAAGCGATGTGCAGTGCTGTCGGCGAAAGCCTTATGCGTTCAGTGCAGGAAAGCAAAAAGAACTTGCAGTGCAGGCAGAAACGACGTTCAAGAAAGAGCAAGTACGTGCCTTTGCCATCTGCGCTGTTGAGAAATTTAAGAAAGAAGACTATAAGAGCAACAGTGCTGCGGGAGAAATACAAGAGGGACCTGCTAAGCTTGAAAAAAAAGTTGTCATCAGATCCAAGCAATGCACTGTTGAGCGAGGTTTTAGCTGAACTTCCACCACTGCAGCAACTTGCATTTCGGACAGCACTGCAGTCGATGAAAGCGAAATCTTCAAGAGGTGTGCGGTATGACTGTGGGTGGCTGCTGAGTTGCCTTCTCTTGAAGATTTCAAGCCCACGTGTGTACCGCTTGATGTCAAGAATGAAAATCCTCCCTCTTCCAACTTCGACTAGGCTCCGACAAATAATAAGAGGAATGCCTTGTGAGTTTGGCTTTAATAAGCTCTCCCTTTCCAGCATAGGGGCTTTCATGAAGACTATGAAAGGAGTCCAGTGTTACGGCACACTAGTAATAGATGAAATGAAGGTACGCCAAGCCGTAGCTTTCAACCGTCAAACATACAAGATTGATGGGTTCGTAAATTACGGAGACGGTGAAGTTTCAGCAGCTACTGCTGATCATGCATTGGTTGCAATGTTTGTGCCTCTATTCCACTCATGGGTTCAACCGATTGCAAGTTTTGCAACAAAAAACGCAGCCCCCGGACACGTGCTCGCCAAAATAGTTCTTGATGCAATCGTGCAGCTACGCAAACACAACGCCATAGTCGTCGCAGTAATCAGTGATGGCGCCAGCACGAACAAAGCAATGTGGTCCAACTTTGGCATATCAGGAAAGCTTCACACAGCAAACCACAAAGTTCAGCACCCATGCGAGCCAAATCAAAGCCTCTACTTCCTTTGCGATGTACCCCACATTGTCAAATGCATTAGAAACCATCTTCTTCGACACAAATATGGCATGGTAAGTACCACGTACAGTACAATATCGCAATAAATAGTGTCGCGGTGCCAATCAAAATACATTTTCTTCGCAGCACTACATACGACTGACGGACTTTTTTTTTCCCTCTCTTCTTCTTGCTCATAGATTGGTGAACATCGCATAAACTATGACCACTACCGAGTTTTGCAAGAAGTAGACGGCAAAGAGCAACTCCGCATTGTTCCGAAGCTTACCGCTGAACACGTCTGCCCTGACAACATGAGAAAAATGAGTGTGAAGCTCGCAGTACAGGTAAGATTACGAAAAGCTGCTTTTGAAAGAACTTATAGCTTACCTGATTATTTAGGCAAATTCTTCACATGTGAAACACAAACTTAACTGGTACTGTGAAGTGTTCTCCTTAAGTCTTTTTGCGATTAATAAAATGCCCCTATACGTTTTCTGTCCCCTAGCTGCTCAGCCGAAGTACGGCTATCGGCCTTGATGTGTACCGGAGACTCAAGCAAGATGGCCTGGAAGACTGCGAGGGGACAGCCGCGTTTACCCGCATCATAAATGACCTTTTTGATGCCCTGAACATCAAGCTTCCTCGTTTTGGGATAAGGAGCACATCCAAGGAAATTAAGGCAAGGGCGATAAAATGTGCTACTTTTGAAGAACATTCGCAATAGGTAATGTTAATCAAGAACTGAGGCACTGGGCATATAAATAAAATACAAAACGCCGACAAACATTTACACCAACAAAAGCCTAGTTTAAGTAGACATTTATTTTGTAATTGAAGGAAGGTATTATTGAAAGAAAGACGACGAATAAATGTCTTGGAACTTAGAACTTCTCCTTCCAGATAACTGAAATAAACGTCGATGAGAAGGCGACACGCCGCAAGCGTGATTTCAAGTATTACCAGCTTCCATTTTCATTCAGTGGCACACATGTTTCATTAAAAAATCAGGTTAAAAATAACTTTATGCCTTTCTTCAAAGGTCCCTTTTTTTATAGGCGTCGACGTTTGCATGTAAGAGCTAGCTTGCACAAAAAAGTAATGTCTAACATAAACTTTTCCCTTTTCTAGATCATCCAAGATTTCATGATTATCTTGGACTTGACAGAGAGAAACCACGTTGAGAAAGGAACAGCCATGTTCGCATCTCAAGTAACAATGGAGTCTCTAAGGGTGACTTTGTCATCTATCTTGGAACTAACAAATGACCTCCTTGCTAAAGGTGCACGCTACGTGCTCACAGGCAAGCTTAATCAAGACCCCTTGGAGGTGAGATTAGCATAATTCCATAAAACTGCGCACTTACTTCATTGCATGGAAAATAAACAAAACGGTTATGAGGAAGCATAGCGTGGTTTTAAACAGTCGTCATATCTCTATGTGAGATGTGCAATTCCCGCCTGAGACTTGCACTCTATAAATCCTCTTTATGCATTCCATACGCCATGCGTACTTTGACTTCTGAAAGAGATACATACGGTGAACTGACGTACGGCTTTATTACTACCATTACAGAGGTTCTTCGGAATCACCAGGAGCTTTGGAGGTGACGAAGACCATCCGACGATCCTGAGCTTTTCCCATATCTACAGGTTGCTGAGCCTGTACACACCTGTCAAGGCTTCGATTGCAGGCAATGTCCAAGAGGAGCCAACCTTAATACTAGCCACAGTGCAAGAGACGATGAAGCAAGGGAAGAAGCAGCAGCTGGCAACGTATGAAAAGTTGCGTGAGACAATCAGCGCAAAGATTTCCGAGGTTTGCTTGCCTGGAATAAGTTCAGCATCCCACTCGGGACCGACACCGCTTCCGGACCACGGATATGCTTTGCCAGCAGTACAGGAGTGCGTCGTATATTACCTCTGCGGCTACATTGTACATTCTTTTCTGAAGCACGTCAACTGCGCTGCTTGCATAAGCAGCATCCAGTCAACAAACACTAAATTCCCCGCTTCACTACTGACATTGGCAAGAGAATTCAGGAACGGAAGCCTCAAGCATCCCTCTACAGAACTTTACACAATGTTGAAACGCGTCGAAGAAAAACTGTCTCTCGTGCTAGGAGAAAACCATCTGTGCGCCGACATGTTTTGGGATGCGCTGGATGTCATCAAAGACTGCGATGTTCCAAGCGTTGGTTGTTCAGTTCATAAGGACATCCTGACATCGGAGATTGTACACTCATACGTTGTTTTGAGAATGCACTTTTTTACGAGAGATGTTTGTAAGAAGCTGAGTGCTTCTGGCAGGGTGTCTTCTACAAAAAAGAAAGCCAAACTTCTCTAGACTACGCACCAATAAACTACGCAGTGATTTAACATAGAAATGTTGCCAAGTAAAAAAAAAACAGGAACTTGAACAAATGTGTTTGGTGGCTTTTCTTACAGTTATTGCACAGCAACATGCACAGATCTCAGTGAATTAAGGGCTGTAATGAGGACACGGGAACATCGGAACAGCATTAAATAACCTAGCAGGAGTCCCACGTAGAACACAGCCAGCTTACCGGCGACGCATGTCATTGGTTCGAAATTTGGGTATTCGAGTGTCAAACTAAAATGACGCTGTTCTTTTTAATTCGATTGCATTCCTCCCTTCATGAAGAGGTGACGAAGAGATGAAGGAGCTTCTCCAAGCTCCTTAATTCATATCCACTCGATTGGCATTCCGTGTTCCTAGTCATGCACATTCGATACATTTAATTGTCAATCGGAAAAAACAATCTTTACACTTAATAAAACTTCTAGGCGCGTAAAACTTTTTTTTCGCCTTTTGATTTTTTTTTTTTTTTTTTTTTTTTTTTTTTTTTAAGCAAGTGATCTTATCTTCTTTCTAACATATATATGTGTGTCGTAGTAGTAATAAATCAGTTGAAAGTCTGCGCTCGTCCTCGTCTCTTGTGTTAGTTGTCTGAAGTTTTACGCGCCTAGAAGTTTTATATGGATTACCAACTAGCCCAATCCCACACTTTACTTAAGTACACTTAATAAAATAGTTGAATTTGCACAATTTAAAAACTGTATCTACTTACAAACGGTATGCATTTAAAAATACAAGCCGACTGTTACGAACCATTCTGTTAAAATTTGTTTGTAACTACGTGTTTCTTCTGCAAAAGATTGCTGTGCTGGGAACCAAAAAAAAAAAGTGAGTTGTCTCGTAAGATATACATCATCGTATTATTCTCCCTGACAAGCCACACAGATAACGCACCGCAGCGTAAATGCAGCGGCATTGTATACAATAAAAACATGCGCAAGTTTTCAGAACTCGCGACTGTTTCATTTAGAACGCTTACTGTCGCTTTCAAATAAGAGCATGCTTTTATAGAAAACGCTCAATGTAAGGACTGCACGAGCAATGCGATCTCAAAAAAATTTTCAGGAAATTTCAGTTTATGCTCTCGGAGGCACCTATTCATTAGGCAAGCACAAGCTCATCACATCGAAACACCTGCGGAATGCAGTCAGCACCATCAGCACGTGGCAAAAAGAACCACTCAGACTTCGTTCAGAGCTCCAAGCTGTGTCCACCTTCATCTATGCAGTGGTTGTAGCAGGAAGCTCTCAATATGCATCCGCTAACAAGATTCCTTGAGATATGAAGTGCTCCAAAAACGCTGCGCCGTCCTTCGGAGACGGGGCGCGGAACAGACGACGAGCAGACGACGCACGAAGCTCGTCACATGACCAGGTCGCAAAGCGATCGCAGCGCCCCCGCGTTTTGGGAGACTGTGAGCGGCCACGCCGCTTCCGTGGCGAGCCCATGCAGTTTCCCAACTGGCTCCATCCAGTAACGTTGGATTGAATGTTTACTATTGGAGCCAAGCCAATCCGCAGATTCTCAAACGCGCGTGCGTTCTGTTTCGGCTGTTGTTCCGGCTTTACCGGCGTGTCTGACTGCAGACTGCCGAATGGTATCGATATGATATTGTTTCGTTGTGCAGTTGTGCCTGCCACATAACCCTCTGTCGGTATGCCCAAGGCGTTTTAGCTCACGAACCAAGCGATCGATCATGTTGCCAAGGCGATCGCTTCGATGCTTGCGCGCGTTCCACGCCGGAAAGTCGGTTCCGGAGACGTTCGTCCGTGCCTCCCGATTGCTGCAGCCCAGTGCGTCCACGAAGTCTGACTCAAAGCAGGCCCTTTGTAAAAGCCAGAAGGTACGTCGGGCACTCCTGTGTGCCGCAGAAAGAGTGGCACGTAAATGTTCGCGGTCGGTCACGAATACTGAACGCGGTCAATGCTGCGGGTAAACCACCGTGGAACACCTGGTGCTTTTGTCAGCGCTCGGGAGCTTCCCATCGCTGACTGTGTGTAGCTGTAAACCGAGGTGTCCGAGCACAAGCTGCGAAGCTGCTGTTGCCGAGTGAAACGTTTACACACTGACGTCTTGTAGTCGAAACCGAATGCGTGATATGCCCGTCGGGTAACGCCCTTTACAGCGATCGTGTCTCCTTTTTAGCGAGCAGCGGGTTTGGCGGTGTACCAAATATTTCATAAAGGTTGAATAGATCTTCAGGCTGACGGGTTGCCTGACTTTTTTTTTTTTTTCCTGTCATACTGGCAGATGTAGTCATAGCAATTGCAGTTCTAGGCGTTCACATTGCTTAGTTGGTTTAGACCTCTAATGGAATTCTGCGAACTTCTGTTGGCGCGATTTCAGTTGGTGTGACGTGACGGGATGTGCCTCTACATAAATAAACAGGGCACGTTCTTGCAAACGAGCCAACAACGGGGTACTGCCCGCAGCGCGTATTCTGTCAAATGCAGCAGGGTAAACGAACTTTTATTTCATGTGCTTCTGAAGATTTATAGACACAAACCTCGCACTTTCTCACGATTGAAATTAAACAGAGGGTTTGAATGGATCACCCAAAGTAATAGACAGAACCGCGTTGTTGTCATTCGCTCATGTACAATCACAGTTTCCGTCGAAACACCAGGACTTATAGTTAGCCAGACTTTTATTTGTTATATTTCGTGTGTTAGTATAACCCCGCTACAGTGTAAAACCAAAGGACATCTTAGTGCGAAAATGTTTCTTCGCAGCAGTTCGAGTTTAGCGCCTCACCGCACCCCACAAGCAATTGGGCAGTGCAAGTTCAGGATAAGCTGAAAACTTCCTGTCAACATCATTGAATTAGCACGTGCGATGCTAGTTTCGTATAAATGTTTTTATCATTGAGAAATTATTTGTTGAGAAACATTGAAGTGCACTGATAATAATAAATGGCTTGCACTGGCATCACTGAAACTGCCATGTTGGTGCACTGCATAAAACACGTAAGGTTTGTGACGCAGTGTGTTAATGATATCATTGCATTGCTTACTTGCAAGTTATCTTGTTATTGACACACAGAGGCCAATGAAAGTCTGGCCGTAGCAATGTCATATTGAAGCTCCCAATGTTTCAAAAAGTGGACTTGTCTCCTTCAGGGGAACGAGTGCTTTTCAATTAAATTGCTTGCAGCCCTGATAAAAACAGGTCACCTCATTGAAAAGTTGGCTCAAGAAACGTTCCTTTCTCCACAGCCTCTCACCATTTTCCCCTTCCTCATTCCCCTGATCTTCTTTCTTATCTATTTGGTACATTGAAATTTCAGCTCATGCTGGATCATGGACTGATAAGCTCGACAGGTCCCGGAACGTTTGCCCTGCTCCCTCTGGCCACGAAGGCGCTGGAGCGCCTCGTCCATCTAATCGACTCCGAGCTCCAGCGAGTCGGTGGCCAGAAGACGTACTTTCCGTGCCTTGTGCCGAGTGCTCTCTTCAAGAAGACAGGTACGTATATTTTCCCACGTCATTTTTCCCGGAACATTTTTTGTCAGAGCAGTGCCAGTACATTTCCTCTCAACTTATTCCTCGGTGCAAGTACCTCCTATTCTGGCTTAGCGAGTACGCAGCTGTCTGTTAACGACTGCGACGTTATTGGTTTGGTGACCGATCCCTGTGCCTTGATGGAGAAGCACACAAAGGCAAACATAATTTGGCCCCAAATAACAGTAATCCTATTTTTACAAAACTAGCTTTCTCCTAGTTTTGCAACGAATAGGATTATGGTTATTTGGGGCCAAAATGTATTTGCCTTTTTGCGCTTTTCTCACACGGCAATTCGTTCCATCTTTAGTAAGCATCTCCACATCCATGATAGTTGTAACTTTGGCGGCACGAAGTTCTGTCAAAATTTCAGAGTAGAATTGGTTTGCGTTTTTGAGAAGCCTGGAGGGTTTTAAGGGGGTCCAATGTGCTTGACTTCAGCATAGTATTGTGTTGTGTGGTTTGCCTTGCTGTTGTCTATCATTGTGAGCTGGTTTGGGAGTTGGTTTCGAGTTCGCAGCTGGAGGGATAAAGCCAGGCCATCGTCCTCGTCACCAACCATTCTCTTCGTGCCCAGCGGTTGGGAGCGCTGGCCAGCTGAGATTTTCCGGGCGGCGGAGGAGCTGTTAAGTTTGGCCTGGAAATTCGTCTGAGCAGACGCCTTTGTGCGTAAGCCGATCCACTGGTGAGGCTCTCAATCCCTTCGGCGCCCAGTCTGACAGACGCCGTCGAAGATTTGAGCAATTATCCAGACCAAGCAGCAAGCAAAGGCGAGTTTCCGTCCTTCAAATGCGGACCCTTTTGTCGTCCTTTCAAGCAGCAGTGGTGCCTGATGATTTCGGTGATCCACTGGCGACAGGGAAGCTGCTGTGGCCGGCGCCAGAGCTGACGGCGGAGCGGCGCTTCTTTAATCCTCAGTCAAGTAGCCGACCGGCCGACTGCCTATGCCCGCCAGGCATTGTCCCTGCTGGCCGGAGGAGGAGACGTCATGTCGCCACGACGAAAGAGGGCAACAGGGACGGCGTCTTCCTGAAAGAGACCGTGACGGCCACCGCAGATCGCCCCGCTAATTGGGCGAGCTGTGCGGTGGACCCTTTGAAGTATGCGACCAGGATCATGGGAACTCTCGACAAACAGCACACACACGACGAGGAAGAGCCCTGCTGGCGCCACCACAGTGCAGTGTTCACGTGGACCGTGCATGCTCGCCCCCCTCACCTGTGTGTGCGTAATTGGTGTTCGACTCGGAGAGGAGGAGCCCGACAGGGCATAAAACGACGCCGTAGAGGGCTGGACGTTGCTCTGAAATATGTAACGTTCAACCACCACGCTCGTGGTTTGTGAAACCACTATCCCTTCTTTTCTGTAAATATGTGTAAATAATAGTGCCATTAAACCCTATGTTTGTTTTCCGTATCCTCTTGTCAGCGTTCGTATCCTCCAGCGAACTTCTTCCTTCCCAACATCTTACAGGGGCAAGACACAGATAGCCACATAATTTCATTGATGTGTTCAAAATTAACCAGTATTATAGTGCCATTTACAGTTACCGGAGTAAGACAATGGTCTTGAGAAGAGATGAAACATTCTTGAACTCAAGATGTCGCTAAATCCCACTTTACGACAAGCGGTCGTGTCTTGGTCAGAACAGGAAATCTTTCAGCTAAATGGACAGCCTTTCTGCAAAAAGCAAAACTGCTTGTCTAAACGTTGGCTTCAATGACAACCTATATTCATGAATTTTCCATTCCATTGAGCTTCCATCTTCCCTTGAACTTTTGTCTTACTTGAGAAAAAAGGCACACAAGTTTCCATTAAAAATTTTGAGACTGTTCATGAGACTGCCATTTGACGCTTCTCAGACTTGTGCTGTCATTACTGTGGAAGAAACTTATACTTGCCATGCTTGTTTGCTTGTGATTCCCAAACCTGGTGAGAGGCCTGTTTACAAATCAAACACTATATGCCGACTATTATATTGAACAACGCAGACCAAGAAATGGAGGTCTTGTCAGAAGACTTGAACTGAAGGGATACTGAACAAAAATTGGGAAAACTGGTGAGACTTCTACATGAAAGATGTGGCTGTTGTGATAAACAGAGTTAATTTCCGGTGTTTTGTCAACAGGCGACGGTATATTTGACGCATTGTCAGCGCACAACGGCCGCATGTGAACGCAAGCCGTGACATCACAATGGTCGAGGCGCATACGAGATACCCGTGTTCTTGTCCTCCTCTTCTTTTTCTCCACCTCTGCTTTCATCCCACTCTCTCCCTTCCACAAAAGCACTGATGCTTTACTCCAGCCGGGTGCATTGCTTGCTGCCGGTGCTGTTCATACCAGTTCTGGGAACCATAGAGGGAGATGAGCAGGTCGAGAGAAGCGAGTAATGACTGGCATTGTTGGCTAGCTTGCGGGCGTTTGTGACTTCACCAAACTCCCCCTTTTCCAGTTCACAGCGCAGCCGCCAGACGCGGCAGCTTGTGAAAAACACATTAAATTCACTATTTTTCTTGTAGTTCCCACCTCAAATGAAGACTGTCTCTATCTATTTCGGGGCCCAATCTTTGGATTTGGTTGAAAATCTTGGCAGCAAAAATTTTGTTCAGGAAGGCAAGGACTTAACATACTAAAGGCCAAGAAACTTAATTGGACATACGTAGCCAAAACGAGGGAAAAAAGATACTCTGAAATTTCTGCCATCTTGATCAGAGATATTATTAAAAAATGTGAAAGTGATATTTTCTTACTTGTGTTTTCGAATCCATTCATACACCTCTAGTTGTGGGATTAATCGCACTGGAATTTTTATAGTGTAAATTGTCAGTGTAAACTAATTCATTGTTTTATTAAGGTTGCTGTGGCGATTGCACTGTATTTTCTTTTATAAGTAGCTTTCATAAAAAAGATAGGCCGCAGTATGTTTTCGAATTTGATGCTGTCTTTAGTAGAAAGAGGTATGACTGGAATATATTTTTTTTCTACTTTCTACTCTATATACCTATCATATAATGAAGTGATGCATTATCGATGGGCATTCCACGCACTTACAGGTCGCTTGGACAAATTGGGCCAAGAACTGTTAATGCTGAAGGACAGGAAGGACCATGACTACTGCCTTGGACCTGTACGTGGCCTCTTTTGTTTTAGCATTTCTTAAAGGAACCGGCAACTGGCCAAAACGTGTGATTAGATCCCAATAGAAATGACAAAACCTTGAAGTATGGTTCTAGATTGCAACATTTTTTTTGCATAGTGATGAAAATTTATATTTTTAAATCGTGCTTGAAAGTCACAAAAACTGTTAGGTCCAGCTTTGCAATCCAGTTTCAAGGCAGATGAGCCTTGAATCTGGATTGTGGAACGTGGAGTGTATCACTTTGCTGTAGTTGTCGCAAAGTCTCATACTGTTATGTGCACCAGTCCTCAAAAGTTAAGAGTATGTACGTTATTATCCAGCCCCGCTCATTTCTGTACTGCTTATGATGTAAAAGGAGCTGCACGGAGACAGGTGGCGATGTCGTCGCAGCCACCAGTGGACCAAGTCATGTCGCGGCACATGCGCATGGAGTGCACGCAGGTGCAGTAAATCAGCAAGCTCAAACACGAACCACTCTCGTGCTTGCTGCTTGAAGCATGCGAGTGTATGACCTCGAATTCACTGCAGATAGAAAAATTCTGATTACAAATGTTTCACGGCGTTTCCCACTTTGCCATTCTATGATCAGACTCTTTGACCCGTAAGCTTTTTGTTGCACTAAAAAAGTAGGCACCATAAAAATTGGTTGTCGGTCCCTTTAAAGCTTGGGGTAACATATGTAGATTCAGTTGCAGAAAACGTGACTGTTTTTCAATGTCTCACACATGACTCTACCTGAATTCATCACCTTTTCTAGACTCATGAAGAATCCGTAACACAACTCGTCGCATCTTTGAAGACTTTGCCTCATGCGTCTCTGCCACTTTTGCTGTATCAGGTAATGCGTCAGCTGATTTTGCGGCTGTGCTCGATTTCACTGGTGCATTTGACCTCTTTAATATTTAGTTTGTTTGCGCTTTGTCCTAGATAACTCCGAAATTTCGGGACGAAGCACGACCAAAGTTTGGACTACTTAGGGGTAGAGAATTCATCATGAAAGGTGAGCTGTTATTGTCTCGCTATATATATGTATATATATATATATATAAGGGAAAGAAGTGTATACCTAAGGGCTCGTTTTTCCGTGTTTTAACACAATATTAATGAGATCTAACAGACAGTAATGCCAAGGAATGTACAGGGGAAGTTATTAGAACCAATGGATTGTAAATAAGAAAGAAAAGTGGATGAAAAAATATCCAGCCGTGAGCAGGAATATATATATATATATATATATATATATATATATATATATATATATATATATATATATATATATATATATATATATATATATATATAAGGCTTATATGCAGAATAATAACTTCGGTTGCCGCAAGGTTATAAATATGAAAATAGATGCGCGTTCACATAACAACTGTTTATTGTGCCGACGTTTCGACGGCAACCCCGTCTTTTTCAAGGCATAATGCATATATATATATATATATATATATATATATGCATTACCCAGCACCTCCACCACTTGTGAGGAACCGGTTTATTCGGCCTGGCTCGAGCTCAATCACGCCGGTGATGATATTCTTAGATGAAGAAGATGTACAGGTGATGATGATTACAAAGAGAATAAAGAGTCATTCGCTTGTCGCGCTCACAATATTTTTTTTTTTTCCTGTGATGCAATTTCTCAATTTTTAATCAACCTTCCCCATGAACTAGTTTCCCAAGAAGCAAGTTCAGTTTACCCGCGAGCTGTTTATTTCTGGAAAAGTTAGACAGCATAAATTGTCTCAAATTTCGCTCAGCACCAGCAAAATATTTTGATCTTTCCGTGTTGTACAAGCCCTTGTCTGACACAATATTACATTTATTGTTTTTGATATATATAGAGTGCATAGATATGTCGAGTAATGCAATGTTATCTTCAAGAAGTGTTCCTTATTTATTTCATTATGTCCAAAAATATACATTGCATATATGTTTTTTACATAAATATATTCTAAGTATGTATGAATATGCTACCATTACAAAGATATACTTGCCGACATCTCTGGATTTTTCACGTTTACGGATTAATCTTCTCGTGTAATTGCACACTCATTTTTTTTTTATTTTGTTCTGTGGCGAGTTGACAAGATGCAACTGTGTTGCACTTTTGCAGATATGTACTCATTCGACAAAACTGTTGAAGAGGCTGCTAATACTTACAACATGGTGTGTGATGCATACGGGAGGATTCTGCAGCAACTCGAAGTGCCTTTTGTCAAAGGTGAGCAAGTGACTATTGGCTATTTTGTGAAGATTTATAGCAGTTCCACACCTTGTATTTCTATTCACAAAGCATTGATTGATTGATTGATCGACCGATTGATTTCCGTTCTTTGAACTGCCATTGTGGCAAAAAATGAGGAGGGCACGCAACATGTGTACTGGCTATCTTGTCAAGATTAAGAGCAATTTCATGCCTTGTATCTGGTTTACAAAAAAATTTATTGATTGATCAATAATTAACTGCCATTCTTTGATCTGCCACTGTGACAAAGAAGAAAGGGCAGACAACACGAGTATTGTATCATATGGCATTCACTAGCTGAGCTTCCATGTTCTGTTGTTTGCATTAGTGTCAACTATAATAGCAGATAACAATTTACAGGTTATGTACCAGTCATGCATCATCAGTTTCTTCTAATTCAAGTTCTAATGTTAATTTTCAAATACATACTTCAAACTTTACTCATGTGTTCATATTCTTACGCCTTCAATCATCACTCCTGCATCCATGAATTCTTGGAAATTAACTTCATAACAACCGTACGTGAGACACAAGCACAGTTTTACGTTGCTACATGGAATGGGTGCAGACAACATGATGTCTGTGCTATGTTTCCATGTTGTGTTGAATCAAACTGTATTGAAACAAATGGGTGTTCAGACATTGTTACCCAAATATTTGACCCACGCTTTCAACCCTGAAAATTCATGCTGCCCTGGCATTCGTTCATCTAAGTTTACCTTGTCAATATGTGCTGACATAAACTTTGTAAGAGGCTGGAATAAGAGATTGCACAAGTGATAAAATTCGATTAGTGGACAACATGGTGATTGTGTTATGTCACACTGCTAATTTTAACTCCTTCAAACCATTGCCATATTGTTGACCAGCACCGTTGGTTCACAAGTTGCTGGTAAAAGTAGGCAACTATTGGGTCAGTTCATCAGTGGTATTTTTCATTTTTTCTGGCAGTGCTTTTTCCTAGTTACCTCCTTCTCAGTGCTTTGGCATGCCTCTCAAATCGCTGTCTGCAATCCATGGGGCAGTGCTATCATAGGCCAGTTCATTCTGGTAGGGGTAATACAACATATCAGCTACTAGGGCCTTTCAAAACAGCTTCTTGATTTTTTGGTCAGACTGCCGGCGATAGAACGGAACAGAGACGGTTCAATCTGAAAACTGGTATTCATGCACCCGTTAATCATTGCCGATTTTGAAGGAGTACTGTGCGAATGCTTGCAAATAGAGCCGTGAATGCAGCTGTAGTCTAGTCGACCGAAATGTCCAACGTTTTTCTCACTGTCCTAATGACACGCCCGCCTTTGTTTCAGTGAAGGCATCCACAGGTGCCATGGGGGGCAGTTACTCCCACGAGTTCCACTTTCTCAATGACATTGGCGAGGATCGCCTTCATGTATGCACACAGTAAGATGACCATTGTAATCATTCCGCGCCTAGTCCTACAAAGAAAAATGGTAATGCATGTCGTCGTATGTCGCCTGAACGGCACACTATTATTTTAGTTTGTCACGTCAGCTGTAGTTAATGGCAGTGTAAGAATATGAAGCATCATTGTCTAGCTGAAAGAGAATTTCTGCAAATAAGCAAGCCTGTGGTGGAATTGTTCTGCGATTGCACCCTAGTTTCAAATGTGCTCATTTCCTCTGAGCAGAAGCTGGCCTTTATACATGAGAGCATTCATTTTTAAACTTAATTGTGGCACGGCAAAGGTCACATGTAAAAGAAATGTAAGGCAACAAATGCTCGTGTCGATGTTACGCTTTCGTTCTGCATGTCTGTCCTCTGCCATACTGCAACAGTTTTCAAACGACATACCTGCAAGCCAATGGAGCCACCCCAATTAACATTTATTTGGCTACCCTAGTATTCTACTTCTATTATGTGACCACATACGACAGGCATGTGAAGAGAATTTTTAAAATGTAGTCTTCATGAGCAATCGAAACTGTTGCTGAATCATGTACTTACTACTTTTCTTAGTCGCCAGACGGAGAATTGAGGAGGAGTGTGGTGGAATGCATGCAATAGTATAGTGGAAGAGCAGGGCTTACATCATGCTGTCATCTAATGGATGCCCATGTGCAGATAATACATGCATGTTTACAAGGCTTCAAAAAACACACACTGCATTACATTGCAAAGCCAACAGAACAAAACAAATGCACTGCCATGCTCCGCCTAGTCAACACCGACAGAAACAAATGATGTATGCATAATGTGCTAGTGCTTTCAAGTGATTTTGACTATTATTGTAGATAGATTCTCCCGAGACATTTTTCTGTGTTTAAGCAGCTGTGAGAAGCTATGTTTTGAAATCTGAAAGCAAAATGAATTTATCAGTGAAGTGAAACTTTGGGCTAGTTGGTTTGGCACTGCAAAATAGGAACAGCTTAATTTTTACATGAGAACACTAAAAAACGACATGAACTAGTGCTTGTCCAAGTCGTACTTAGTGTCACCATTATAAATTATGCTGTTCCTCTTTCGTCATCAGTAAAGCTTTTTCTGAATTTTTAGGCTGTTGCTAAGCACAGATGTAAAAAGCCAAGCAGTGTGTAACAAGCCAAATATTTATCTTCTAGTGAGAGCACAAACTACTACCACTTGACTGAATATGTTTCTGTTCTTGTTATCTTTCTTGTCAGATGTCAGACAGGCCTTAGTGTTGACGAAGCCGGCTCAGGTACGGCAGAAGTCCTCATGTTTCTTTTCCTTTCCGTAGCCAGTGTGAAGCCATATATTGTCCCACTTTCATTACCCTACGTTGTGGATATCTGTAGCGCTTTCAGTTGTCACTTCCTTGTGCTTCAACATAAAAAGAAAATTTAGCCTGCACTATTTTTCCGATGCCTGCACTTTGCACTAAGAGCGCTGACCATGTGCAATAACGTAATTGTTTGTGTGAAACTTGCTTTGACTGCGGTGTCCATGTTTTGCCATCGGTTATAACTTGGCGTCAGTTCTTTCACATGCACTCAAACTTCGTTATCACAAAGTCTCACCTTGCACGAAAATAAGTTCGTTATATCCTAAAGGTCATTATATTTATCTACTGCAAGAGTATTCTTCATTTACTCTGTTATAACGGATATTTCGTTACATTTGGGTAGGTATATCAAGGTTTGAGTGTATACGAATGTTTACACAAGTGGTCTGTTGCATTAACCTTTGAGGCTTCCTTTGCAAGATATTAGAGTCTTTTCTGTGAGCATCTAGACTGATGAGCTTGTTTTGCTGTATGTATGGATAGAGACGCATGTAAGTATTGTTTAGTCGGACTGTAGTTCAATTTACGATTTTACAGACTGCCAGGAAGAGACATGTGAGAATTGTGGAGGGCGCCTGCAAGAAGCGAGAGGCATTGAGGTGAGCTTCGAATGCGTATAAATTAAAATTACGTACTTCCATTTGCTGAAGGGTGCATCACAATTTTGAAAAGCCATTCCTGTTTCAATTTTCAACATCAAGAAAGAATTGCCGTAAAATTTTATCCACATAACAAATGCATTCAACTGCCAATATTTCAGGTGCCCCCCACTCCCCTTGTTTTCCTTTTTGGACGTCCTTGAAAGTTCCGACGCTTTTGCGTTACCGTCACAGATTCCCTAGACATCAGTGTACACGGGCTTCTGAATGCTGAAGCTTTCAAACTTTTTGCCATCTGATTTTCCAGACTTTCTACCCAAATCGCTGCTTCGAAATGTCACTAATTGAAGCCCCCACCTCTACCACGTCATCATCTCAGAGGTTTGAAACAGTACTCTCGTGAGTCTGTCTGTTTCTGATAACATGAAACTGTAACAGATGCCGCTTAGAGAAAGGCATTCTTGAAGAGAAAAATCTGTCTGGCTGCAACAGCTCACGCAAGCTACATGAGAGCATCAAGGTTGGGCTGCGACGCAACGCGGTTTCTGTTGTGGCGTAACGAATATCACTGCTTGCATGTTCGTTTCGTTAACACGCTCTTCTGCAAATGTGATGATCAAGGATTCCGATATCATCCTATGCTATGCAAGTTCACTGGCATAGCATGGCAGCAATGGTTAGCATCATTGTGTTCATACCATGCTGCCCTTGAAATGAGCCATGATTCCAGACCAAATGATATCTGCTGATGACTCAACAAGGAAAAGGCAATGAGTCAGCGAGCCTCTGCAGACGGCATGTTGCATGCGTCTGTCGTCTCTGCAAGCTCATTCACACGACGGAGGATGCGTCGCCGTTGTAACTCTATAAGCAAATCCAAGCAAGCACACATTCCTCGCTGAATGATAATTTCTTTGTGATAAAACCCATAAAAGTTTGTCGGAACAAGAGCCTCATAGCTGGAAGACAATTTGTCTTAGCGAAGAAATTGCACCTTGAACCACCGCCATTCAAAAGCAGTAGTTCATCTTGGCCTAACACTAGTCAATTGCAAAGCGAGGCTAAATTAGTGGATAAATTCGAACCATGAAAACAATAAACATTGTAAAATAGTTTCACAGGTTTCTTTTTCAATTTCAAGCTCTATACGTTTTTTGTTTCCTTTGAGGTGGCTCACGCTTTCTGCTTGGGAACCACGTATTCCGAGCTGCTCGGTGCGACCACTCATCACGCCGATGGAAAGAACAGGTAGGAAACTGAATTGCGCATGTTAAAGGGACACTGACAGAAAATTTCGCAGCCGAGATAGCCTGCGTGATCGATTCTCGTGAACATGCGTATATCATATGCAAAATAGCAATGGCAAATATAGCTTGGAAGGTATTCTTAATTAATTTTGAAGGTTACGTGAGTGATCGACTCCAACTGACACCCTCAAACAGTACCCTTGGGGACCCCCTGCTTCCCTTACGTCACCACGCTGCTACAAGTTAGGACGATGTCAAGGCCGTCATTTTTTCGTAGTCGGGTCTCCTCCAGCAGTCTATTACTTGACAGCTGCTTGCGAGTCTGTGGCCATGGCGCACGAGTTGAAACTTTTGTGTTTGATGACATATCTGTCTCGTTTTCGATTCGAAAAAATTTCTTTATGCGAGTCGAACGAAAGTGCGTCACATTTCTGTGTGCTCACGTGGTTGAGCATTGCACCCACTAAATGATGATAGTTGCTCCCGGTGGCTTGTCTTTTTTGAAAGCGAAACCGACACTGGTCGGTAATAACGAGCCTGTAATTAATTATCTGTCGTGCACTGCAGAAAACGATGTGTCGTGTTATAACTGACAGGCCCCCAGGAACATATTGCAGCAATAAAAACGCGAGGCCAGAATTTTTGTGTCAGTACCCCTTTGAAGGGGTCCTGCAACACTTTTCCAAGTAACCATTGACCGACTTCATAAACGGAGTTTGTTGCCTCACGAATCGATCGCCGTGAAAATGTTTGGAATCGTCTGGTATGAGCAGAGTTACAGAGATTTCTCTGCATCCAAAAATACAGCCGCCGCAGATTGGATTCGACACTGCGACATACGAATCAGCAGTCAAACACCATAACCACTAGACCGCTGTGGCGGGTGTTGCCATGTACAGTAGGATGAAAAGAAGAAAAAGGATGAAAAGGAGAAAAGTTTTTGTTATAGTGTAGCAGAGGGGAGTGGAGGATGAACTGCGGCACAGCTGATTGGGCAAAGTTAGTTGTGAGAAAAGCAAATTGGCAGCTATGACGAGCACAGGCGGTTTGACATTAGAGATGATGTCATCAGCCTTTGCGAGGTTAAGTTAGTTGCAGTCACGCATAATTTTTTTCCCTCACTAGCAAACTGATCTTGCTCGTGTCAGGAACAAGTTTATTTTTAAGTGCCAATCTTGACAGTCGTGCGGTCGATTTCAAGATTGATATGTGGGGTTTAACGTCCCAAAACCAGCATATGATTATGAGAGACGCCGTAGTGGAGGGCTCCGGAAATTTCGACCACCTGGGGTTCTTTAACGTGCACCCAAATCTGAGCACAGAGGCCTACAACATTTCCGCCTCCATCGGAAATGCAGCTTCCGCATTTCTCCCCCGACCTGTGGGTCAGCAGCAGAGTACCTTAGCCACTAGACCACCGCGGTGGGGCGATCGATTTCAAGGTGCCTTTCTCGATATTTTTATTTTCAGACCGTTTGAAATGAACTGCTTTGGGATCGGCATCACGCGGCTTCTGGCAGCGTGCCTCGAAATGCTTGCATCGGACGACCGGATGCGGTGGCCCCTTTCCTTAGCGCCTTTCAGGGTTGCCATTGTCACGCCCAAGGTTTGCAGCATAGTCTTCAACTATTCTTATCGCAGCTGTAAAGTTTGATTTCCATTACAGTAATTTTCCTTTGCAGCAAAGTTATCCTAAGCCGAGCCTGTACCATTTAAGTCACATGACCTTAAATAGGACAGGAAGTGAATAAACAAATAAATAAAACAAAATTATGGTGATGCTAGAAATATTGATGATGCCAATCACATTGATAGTGTTGACGCTAGATGATTGTGGGCATGATGATGCTGGTAAATGATGATCATCTGTGAAAGATATCTGTGAAAGTTTTGACGAATGGGCTTCTGTATACGCGTAACATTAGTTTTAGTCACGTCACTGTAACCAGGTTGTGCCATTGGTCTTTGTCGTGTTTTAAATATCCGTCCTGTCAAATTGTTAGCCAACACTTATAATTCCAGCTATTCGAAAGTCAAAACGAATTATTCTATTAGGTATGATGACGCATTCAAAACTCAAGTATTCGCACACCCCTGGTTTTTTCTAATGTCTTTTTACTGTTTGTTTCTTTGATCATTTCACAATGGCCAGCGAGGTAGCCATGAAGTGGGAAGCTTGCCCTTGGCAGAACACCTAGCAGGGCAGCTGGGTTTGCTCGACCAGCTGCGAGGTGCGATAATTATGGATGACAGGGATGACTGGACCATTGGGAAAAGGCTAAAGGACCTTGACACCCTGGGAATACCTTACATCATCGTTGCTGGCAAGAAGGTACACAGAAAATTTGGCAAATGAAGAACTCTTCATCGCGGGCCGCAGTGCATGCATTGAGGCGTTAACTTCACTGTGCTGTACTTATGAAATTCCACTCAGCTACTCAATATGTAACTGTTCTTTTTTTTATTTTTTGCAATTTATGCCTGTTTTTACCAAAGGGACTTCTCTTCTTTTACTGTATATTGTGGCTAAGGTAAGGTAATATACTGTGACAATTATTGAATGTGAATTAATATAATTAACATTCAATTAATATAAGATATATAGTTTTCTCTAGCTAAATATTTTTGCACATGCATGTGAACACTATCAACTAACGCAACAAAGACAGGAAAATTGTTATATGGGTGTTCTCACATCCTGTGTAGATTGTGGGTGTTTTAAGTGTGTTACCCATTGTACACTCAGGCATCGATATAAGAAACTCAAATATTACAAATTATTGGCTATAACGAAGTAAGTGAAGAATAGCTTTGATATATATATATATATATATATATATATATATATATATATATATATATATATATATATATGACATAGTGTTAAGAATATATGTGTATAACAAATTTTTGGTTAAATTGAAGCATTTTCGAGGCAGATATGACCTCTTCATAATGAGGTTTGAATGTAGTGGCTCTGGGACTGTAGTGGAGTGCTGCCACGAAGAGGTCATGGGTTCAAAACAGGTTGTCGTGGCCGCATTATGATAAGTGCAAAATGCAATAATGCCGATTTAATTTAGCTGGCACAACCCCAGTACACAAGTCAAAACAACATGCCTCGTAATGTGACTGTTTTATAAGGCGATTTTAAGCACACATACAACCTGCACCAAGTTAGTCCAAAACTCGTGTTGCAGGTTGCAGTGTGGAAAAGACAAAAACAGGGTTTCATGCGATGATGGCTACAAAACTGACTGCTTTTCATCCTCTTCTTTGTTTCTTTACAGACCAACGAACCGGTGCCCCTGTTTGAGCTTTACGACTCACTAGAAGGCTCAACAGCTGAACTGACGCATTCAGAACTCCTGCACTTCTTTCAATTTGGACCATTAGCTGTAAAGAGAATATACTAAAGTTATTTAATTGCCTTATTATCTGTTTGGTTGTTTTGGGGCACATTTTCACTCTTGTGCAGCTTTGTATTGTTCTACCATAATCCCTCCCCCTCTCATTAAGTAGAAACTACCGGCAAAGTTGAAGAAGTGGGTTGCTTTCCTACCGCCACAATAAGAAAGTTCAAGATGGCGACAGCAGAATTTTCTCGCCAGAAAAAAACGACTCCCTCTGAAAGCCTCCCGCACTCATTCGTAGCGTGGCGCATTAGAACGAGGGCTCACAAACGGAGGAAATGCAACGGCCACACCGTCAGGTCGCAGGAAGCATGACCTCACCGAGTTTCTTACTAATATTGTATGAAACTATATGTATGACATAGAATTCCTTCGATCATGAGTGAACGCAACCGCTCAATGCAACAAACACAAATCACGAGGACCATGGTTTTGTTGTGGGACTTCAAGAACCATCATGGTTGCTTTTCGTGGGGGAAAAACTGCAATTTGGACCCTGAATTTCAGACGCAGATGCTTAGATATCTGGGTGTCACGCAATTCTGGCTGGAATTGCAGTGGGCCAGTGTTGCATAGACACGTCGCACGATCGGGGTGCCGAGCAGAAGGAGTACCTAGGTGGATGGGGTGTGTGTGCTTTTCTGGGATGGCACGGAAAATTGAAATCAGAAGTGGAATGAGAGGGGCCGCTTGCTCGGAATTTCAGAGTACATGCTGGGGCATAGCCAGGCAATTTTTCCGGAGGCGGGTGTAGTGTTTCAACCGTACTTAATGTATGCTTATGCGTGCATATTGTCACAGGGTCGTGCCGCTGACAGCGGCAGGGACGGCTTGTCCAAAATGAAGCTGTTTATTTGACCGCACCTGCGGGCGGTAAACAGAAACTAAAATTGCTGCAGTACACACTGGCACTGATAACGGCGAACAGAGCGTCGGCCGTCGATCAACCGACAAGCGGTGATGTGCATCGGCATTTATACATGTGCGGTCGAATGTTCCAGCATTATCGCTAGCAGCCAAGTATGTTCCAGAACAATCTGTAATGTTCTCGTTGTGCACGTAACCGCATCGGAAGGTTCTAAGATGATCTCGGTGGTTCTTAGTCCATCGACGCGGTTTGCGCAAGGTAGCACTCAAACGTGTAATGGGACAATAACAAAACTTGGCAAAAGAGTGTGGCAATATATACATGTGCAAAACTTTGGAACATTTTGCAGAAGCTGTTCACCCCCCAGCTCCTCCTCGATCTCTCTTGTACATGTAATCGCGTTTCTCTTTATCTCGCACCATATTGCGGGCGCCCCGAGCTGTGTATCTCGCAAGTTTGTAGGAACTAAATATGGCAGCACTCAATGACTTGCATACAGTTGCAGCACTTGTTGAATCTTCACAAGCATCCTTCTCCTGTCGATTGGCTTATTACGCCTTAGAATGAAAAAAAAAAAAAACATGTTGCACTCTTTACATAAACTGAATTGAACAAGTCACAGAGGCATGTGGATGGGTTGTTAAATTTGAACGTGGTTTGAATTTGCCTCATTTGCCCTTTGAATACACGAGAAGGACCAAGCACTTTGGCGAGCCTTACTGCATGAGAAGCAAAAATTATTTTAACCATGGTACAAAACCAGCGCCAGAAATGAAAGCGTTTGTGCCTGTCGTGTTTCTTTCTCCCTTGTGTAAGAAATTCTACTCCCTAAAGCCTGTAATTATGAAGAGTCGGTTTGGAACATTCTGCATTACACTCACCAACAACACAACAAAAGAAAACCATTTACTTATGGACTTACACCGTCACACCTAATTTCACTAAGACGCCTTTAACGTACACAGTTTAAAATTACTGAGAAGAGTAATACACTTGAATGGAAAAAAAATTTATAGAGAATTGTCATACGTACTTCCTAATGCAAATTGTGGCCGCAACATTGTGTTGAGGGAATGCCGACAGTGTTGGAAGTTTTAGCTTTCCACAAGGTATCAATTACGCTATAAATCATAATTTTTTGTAACCCTATAGCTTACACAGCACCCACTACGCCGCTATTCGTCTTCCTGCAAAATTATGTGCACCTTGTTGAGGCTGCACATGCCGGATGATGACGACGAGTTACGGCTGAGCACTTTCGGGGTGCACGTCGCCGAATTTCAGAGGCAAAATCGGGCCGTTTCGACGTGCCAGGAGTGGGAGTAAAGATTATCAAAAGATGTATGTTTCCAGAAGGTACCAGCTTCCACCATTGACGTGGTAGGCAGTGTACCAGTGGCAGGCCGGCGGGTGGTCCAAGTTGGTGGTTGTTGCGAGACCGAGTAGGGCTAGCGATCGATTCCAGCATGAATAGCAGGAGGGGTCACTATACTGCTTTGAGAACGTCTATGCGGTACATTTGACCAGGCGCCACGGTAGTACGACTCTGGGTCGAGCCGCACAACGCGTACCCAAGCCCAGTGCACGTGCGCTCAGTGAGTTATTATGCGCCTTGTGAGTTGGCTGTATCCAAGCATAAGGGTATTCTTGCTTTTCACACCCATCAGAAAAGCGGCTGCTATGGCCAGAAATGGAATCCATCATAGGGGTTAGCAGCGCGAATAGACCTTTTCACCCATTTCATATTGCTCACGACCGAGCGCGCGATTTACCAGGAACATTGCCGATTTCTGTTTTCGTAATTCATCTGCACCTTGATGCCGTTGTCAGATAACGGCATCAAGGTGCAGGTGAATTGATACGAGCAGAAAGCGAACGCAAACAGCTGATCAGCGCATGAAGCGTGCGCATCATTATGTAGGCGCGCTGCATCGGAGGGTCCGGTCCGCGCCGTGACGTCATACAGGCCTCCCGCCAGGTGGCGCCACTCCAAGCCGTGGTTATATATGAGGATAACAGGGCACACATTACATGGGAAGGGCGTACATACACAGAGCCCGTGTTCATTCGAAGAGGTTTAAAACAGGGGTGCCCTCTTTCGCCATTGCTGTTCACACTGTACATTAGAGGAATGGAAAGACGACTAGAGGAGAGTGTATTGGGCTTTGATTTGTCACACCGAAGCAATGGAGTGTTAGTGGAGCAACGGATTCCGGGATTGATGTACGCAGACGATATAGTGCTGCTGGCGGATAATGCGGAAGAACTTCAAAAACTGGCTGACATTTGTGGTGATGAGGCAACGTACCTAGGCCTACATTTTAACCCACAGAAATCTGGAGTCATGGTGTTCAACGAGGAAGCTCATGTAGCACCAATAAGGATACAACAGGAAGCCATACCATTAGTAATTAAGTACAAATACTTGGGGATCTGGCTTAATGAAGGAAAAGGCTACCTGAATGCTCATGAAGAACACCTCAAACTGAAAGGGAGACGAAATGCAGCAGTAATGAAACATAGAGCACTTTGGGGATACAATAAGTACGAGGTAGTACGAGGCATCTGGAAAGGGGTAATGGTGCCGGCGCTCACGTTCGCTAATGCCGTATTATGCTTAAAGTCAGATATCCTGTCGGGGCTGGAGGTTAACCAAAAGGCAGTCGGCAGGCTAGCTCTGGGAGCTCACAGTAAGACTACAAACGAGGCTGTACAAGGCGATATGGGTTTGGCTTCATTCGAGGCGAGGGAAGCACAAAGTAAAATACGGTTTGAGGAGCGACTTAGACATTTAGGTGAGAAGAGCTGGGCAGCCAGAGTGCACAGGTACCTGTACCTGAAAAGTGTGGACACCCAATGGCGGAAGAGGACGCGAAAGCTGGCGACTAAATATAACTTGACCGCGGCAAATAAACAAAGGGGGCCAGTTAAAAAGCAAGTGAAAGAAACAGAGACGCTCATGTGGAAAGAGAGGATGGAAAAGAAGGGATCGCTGGGAATCTACAAGGCAAGCAAACAAGAGATCCGGAAAAAGAACTGTTATGACAACAATAAAGGTAGTGCGTTGCTCTTTGAGGCGCGGGCTGGCTGCTTGAGAACTCTAACTTACAGGAGCGAATATTCGTCACAGGATGAGACATGTGTTTGGATGTGGCATAAATAAAGAAACAATCGACCACATAGTCATGGAATGCCAAAAGATTCAGCCGGATAGAAATGGGGGGAAAGTCACACTCCCTGAGGCGCTGGGCTTCGCGGTGGACGGAAGCATTAACTGGTCAGCAGTAGGTATTACCAGAGTCCTTCAATGCTCTGGTATTACTAAGCAGCGGCTGGAGTATTGGTGGAGGAAAAGCAGAGAAGTCGATAAAATAACATCCCAGCCAAGAGTAGCGGCTGGGCAAAATTAAAAAGACATCCGAGTTGAGGGACAAAATTTAAACTCGAACTATTAAGGTAGGCTAGATGGCGCATGCTGTCACCCCGATTCAAAGGGGAGGCCTTTAATCATCATCATCATCATCATCTTCCCTTTCCATTCCGCAAGTATTGTGACTGCCGCGCTAAGCCCCCATTGCGGATCACGTCACTTGGGATTCGCTCGCAGGATTTCAAGCTGGACGGTCGTGCCCTCGCGATCTCCGACGCGAGCGAAGCTCCCGCCGACTGGTTCGCCCTCCGCGGTCTCCTGACGCCGTGTAGCTCTCGCATTGTGGCACCCCGCCCTTGGACTGCTTCGACCGGATCCCCACTTTCCTATCTCCTTCTTTTTCTGTCGCTTGCCTGTCTTCTTCTTCGTCTATTTTCCTTCTATTCTTTTTATCCCTCCTTCCCCCCCACCCCTATAAGGCACTGCGCCGTGTCGCCTGAAGGCAGACAGAAATTAGGTGCCTTTTTCCTCTTTCTTCTAACCACTACCACCACCACCACGTCACTTGAATACTTGAAGTAACTAGAATCACTAGACTAACATCCCCTATACTTTCCTTGTCTGTCAGTTCTCCTTCACATTCAGAAGGAAGGCAACAACGAGCACAAGAACCACCACCAGTCACGGTGATTTTCGTCTGTTGAGGCTGTCCACCGCCGCGGCGGCGATCGCCTGACGACACAAAGGTCGCGGGTAGGATCCCGGAGGCCGTGGTGGTCTCATACTGATGGAGGCCAAATGCCAGGGACCCGTGTTCTCAATGCACGCTAAAAAAAAACGCGGCATAAGCACGAAGTGAGTGATGACGGATCGTCTGGTTGTGGCGTAAATCACCCCTAACATTGACCACTCAAGCATGTAAATGACCACTCACGCATTCATTATTACTGCTCTGTGGTATCCGATGTAGCCTGAAGTTGGGCAAATACGAGGACAGTGCACGCGTTCCCCTGGTGCTTGTTTCACGCGAAATGCGTCGCTGATCGAGCATATCGAGACATGATGCTCTGCGAAAGCCAGTCGTTGTCCGTGATCACCATCGTCATCACGGCTACGGCGCATCTGTACGCTGAATGCTCCGTGGCTAAACGTGCGTGTATTTGCTACCTTTGCAACTACCGTAGGCTAGGAAGAACATGGCGGTAGATGCCGGCTGCGCCTGCGAGAGGATCGGGAATGGAGGCAGTTGACTTTAGTTCGGACAAGCTTTGTTTCGACACAAATTTGAAGAGTAGCACAACTTGATGGTAATAAGGGTTGCAGCGCGAGCACGAAGGTGCTAGAAGAAACGAAAGGCGAGGCAAGGAAATCAAAGAGGCGCTCGTGTTGTCCTCTTTGCTTTCCTTGCCTCGCCTTTCGTTTCTCGTTTCTTCTAGCACCTTCGTGCTTGCGCTGCAACCCTTATTACCATGAAGTTTAACCAACTAACCCAAATAGCCGTTCTTCTTCTATTAGCACAACTTGACTTTCGGTATAGTGAAAGCGATAAACCTGTAAAATATGCGCTGCTGACCGGCTAGCAAGATTCGGTTTCCTAGGACAGCTTACCCTCACGAGACATGCAAGAGTGAAACCAGACAAGTATTTTGCCCGCTGACGCGACCATTCAGGAACTCAGTTTACAAGTGCCTGTGTGAACGTTCCTAGAGCCGCAAGGGCAAAGATCGGGCAAAAAAGGTCATGAACCCCTAAAGCTCTGGCGGCACAAAGGCAGAGACCGTACTTTAGAGACAAGTAATTGTGAAAGTCAAGGAACAATTTTCTTGAAACTGCTCGCTTGAAGTAATTCACTGCTTTACTTCCTACAGCAAGAGTATTATCACTGTAAGCCACGTCTCATTCTTGGATACATTTTCTTATATTAATAACTAGCCCAGCGGTTCTCGAGCATCTTGGTCACAAGGAACCCCGCCATGCTCCGTTAGCTGCCAAGTAACAACCCACCCCTGCCGCCGCTTTCATGCAACCACCTTTCATTCTGTTCAAGCTACATTCAGCGTGCGATAAATTAAAAAAAATAAACAAGGGTGCACTATAGAAAAGACATCTACTAAAATGAAACTGAGCTCACTTAGTAGGGGCGATCGCCTCCCCCAAAGCTTATGTCCGCACCCCCCTTCCTCCTCTCTTCAGTGTTTGTGTTCTACTTCCTATTGCCAATTAAAACACATTAATGGGAGCACTGTGAGCACACATTAACAGTATTTATGATATGATGAGGTTTTTGTGCTACCAAAGACAAAAAAAGTGAGGACGCCTCCCTCACCCCTTCTGTGTTACTTCAAGCGAACCCCCCCCCCCCCCCCTCTAAAATGAATGGCTGGATCCGTCTAGCTCACATTTTTTTTTTTTTTTTGTTTGCGCATGGCAGCAGCATGTCCAATGCTTTATCACACACAAGGAGGTTAAAGTATGCCATTGCTGGACTTCAAAGGATAAAATGCAAACTCCATCGATAGCTAACACCGAGATTTCTTCGAAAAGGGCAGCGATTTGAAGGACTAAAACAACCCGCTCTCCTTACCCCCCCACAATCAACCGAGTTTCCGACTCTGTAAAATAAAACAGGCTCATCAACACGACGAGCGCAGTCGCACCAACGTCTTCCCGGCTCGGGAAAAAAAAAAAAAAACATGCGCTCCGCTTGGCGCCCCAGCCGCGATCAATGATCCTTGTGTGCGCTCTAGTCAGCGCGGCGCATCCCCTGCACGCAGCCAAAAAGGCCTGGCGCACGCGCGCCCGCGTACCTGTTTTTTTTTTTTTTTTTTTTTTTCGCGAGTAGAGAGAGAGAGCGAAAGAGAAGCAATGCCACTATAACAATGGGAAAGGAGGCGACCCACCGCGCAGCTTGCAAGCGGAGCTGCCGCGCAGGCAGGCGCGTTGCCATGGCAACTCGTGCGAGCTGCTGCGGCGCTGCGTAGCGGCGCGTCGTTCGCACCGACGTGTTGCTGCCGGGCGCCGTTCGGGAGAAATTGCAGAAGGGTGCTGTTTACTACGGCGGGCCTCCCGCTTACAAAAGTTCGGGAATTCCTCTGCGGCGACTCGCATTGTTCGTGGGTCCCCTTCGACGAGTAAAGTACGGGATAGATCGGCTGGACGCGGACTTAGTGCCGACGCGGCGACGTTCACAAGTGCACGGGCTGTGCTGCTCCCGTCGTGTTGAGACTACGTCGCCGCCGTCAGGCGCAGCGCGTCGTGCCGCTGGCTACCAGTCGCCATCGCCCTCTCCTGCGAGACCACTTCAGCGCCGCGGTCGCCGGCTCCGATATGGCCTCGCACATCCCCGACTTGGAGGCCCTGGTCGGCGAAGTCGAGAAGCACCCGCTGCTCTACGACCCCGCTCATCGCGACCAGAGGGACGCCTTCAAGCGGTCCCAGGCTTGGAAGGAGATAGGCAAAGCCCTGAACGCTACAAGTGAGTGTGTCCGCATTTTTTTTTTTTTTCTCCGGCACGTCCCCGCCGAAAATGGAAGTCTGAGGGCTATGGATTTCCGCTTTCTAATAATAGACAGTTTTTGGAACAGAGTATACGAATGGTTGACGTTAGTTTAGTACGATCGCAAGGCAGTTTTAGAAATAAGGAACGCAAAGAGAACGTCCGTTGGACATGATACGATATTTCAATCACTCGAGTACCCCAAGGGTAGTGCATGACGCGTTCGCAGTGCCGACGAACTCTAACGCAAACTTTAACGCGCAATCGCATTCTAGAAGCGCCCAACGTCGGAGCCACGCTAGCCTCTAATGCATCTTGTAGCGCGTACGGCGCAGCGTTTCTAAGATGAAACTCTCTAGTAGAACTGACAATTTTCGCCGCGTAGATTACGAATACACATCGGCTTATCATGAGAAAAGCAGTGCGCACACGGACTGGACGAAGATAAGTAACGCAACACAAGCGCATTGCGTGGGTATTTTAAACTTTGGGCCGCATAAGTGATGTTCTATCGATTACCTGCAACACAACTAGTTACGACCGCTGGATACATGACAACACATTCCATAAGACACTACTTCACTTCATACACAACACCGGCCTGACGGCGCACATTTAATACACATACACGCACTAAACATTCTGCATTAAGGGCAATTCCATGTCGCAATAAAGAAATGACGTAACATCCGATTAGCATCGAAAGGGCCTCAAATCTGCGAGGCTAGACCGGCAGACGTTACACTGGTTTATTATGCCGCCGGATCCATAAGCGAAGACCTGTCCATTTCCAGTGCCCGCGTACACGGTGCGTTTCAAACTCAATTTTTAAACATGCATTCGTGTGCTGCTCAGACGAAAACGCCCGTAACCCGTGTCTTCTTCGTCGGGGATGTTCGTCTACGTTCATGCTTTCAACACACGCACGTGGACACACACACACCCACACAATGGATGAGTAGCGAAAATTCCACAAGGCGGCTTTCCTGCGAGTTCTTTTCTCTGCCAAGCGCATTTGTTCAAAGACTGCTTATCACGATCGTCGTCCTTTCGCCGCAGCCGGTTTCAGCGGAGACGCGCGTGCACCACTAACACTTTTTTTCGAAAGATTACTGTCGGTTTGTCACGCCTGCTGTCTATCAGCCTACGCATTGTTATCGAGGAATTTGTCGTTCGAGGAACGTGGGCGACTGAAGTACAGCGAGGCTGAAAAGCATGTCTATGAACGAGGGTGCTTGGTCTAAAGAAAGAAAAAGCTTTGCAAGGTCGTCTTGCATATTTTTGGAAGTCATTCGTATAGTTACTGGGAATCAGCGCCGTGCTCCCGACCGGGCTGCAGTAATTAGGTGCCTTTCTCCTTTTCTAACCACTACCCCCACCACCATGAGAAAGGATTTGTGGAGCAAGGAACGCATGCACAAAGAGACGACACACGAGAGTTCCTTGTCTGCGTATACCAGTCTGATCCTATGCTTGGTGTCTTGCGTTTGCTTAGTGAAATAACTATCTGGCATCACACAATGCGAATTGCGTAACGAGTGGGTCAATGAATGCTGCAAACCCGTTACAAAAGGCTCAGCAAAAATTATTCATCAACCACCGCATCGAGGTGAATTCCTTGCAAAACGGGTACCTCGCTTCTCTGCATTGGTTCCCAACTTGACGAAAACTATTATATATAGGGCGGAGAGTACCATCACAGTGCACTTGCATTAGCAATCATACTGGTAAGTTTTTTTTTTTTTCTTTTTCAGCGCGCAAACATATATGTCCCTTTCGTTCTGTGTTCGCGCGCCGAAAAGCTCGCCAGTGCCCAAGCTTCCACTCTTGTATTAGCAACCCAAAGAGAGTTTACTACGGGTTCTAGAAATTCCGCTCTTCAGTTATTGCTTTGGCTGCGTTGCACTTTCTGCGAAGGCCAGTTTTTGTTTGTCTGTTTCTTTACTTCAGTGCACATTTTCCCTGCATTTCCTTTTTGCCCATAGCAAACTTAATACGAGGCGTGTCACTGCCGCAGCGATTTCCTAAAAGCCTTAGTTGTGCTCACACACCAGGGGAAGGGGGTATGAAAGGGAGGGCAGGACCCCCCCCCCTCCGCCATATTTCCACCTGCCCCCCCATTTACCCACCCAAAAGTTGGCATAGTCAAGACACAACGCAGGTGTTGTCAGTCTCCCTCAATGAAAGAACTCGCTTGTCCCAGCTCCCCCCTTCCGCCCCCCTAGTAAAAACATTCCTGGCGCCGCGCCTGTCACACACAAACGCTGGAATGTACAGGGGTGCGCGTATTTCGTGTGAAAAAAATTTACGCCAGCGGTGGTCGAGTGCTTGTAAAATACTCCGCAGTAGACATGTTGCTCAGAAGAAGCCATTGCAAAAAAAAGTTTGGCTGATGGCTCCCGGCCCGACACCAATTAAGTTCTTCAGGTGATTCGTGGTCTTTGCAATTAGCTTCGCTTCTTCGGATGAACGCCCAGTGTGCATACTTCACTGCACCAAGCTATCGGCAAAGCAAATGCAAGTCCTAGCTTTGCCAGTGCCGTTTTGAGGAATCACGAGTATTTACAACAACGCTGCTGAGGATTATTATAGTGGTGGTGGTAGTGGTTAGAATGCGCTGCATCCCGGTTGGAAGCACGGCACAGCGGCTGAGGATTATGGCCGCACTCCGGGAGCCTGTGTTGAAAGCCTGCATTGTCTAGAAGTGCGTAGGATACCGTTTGTCCTTGCACAGTGATTACATGACAGGCCGAGACCCCACGGGGTGCATCGCGTATAATAATATAATAGTCATTATCATGTTTGGCATGCTGCTATAAAGAGCCAAAACAACGCATGCTGGCGCTGCGATAGATGGATGGATTGATATTGATGTACCTTTTAGATCGGGCGGCGGCTGACGCCACCTAGCCGTAATACTTAGTGAACCAAAGCTACATTTATCTTTTTTTTTAAAATAGTCAAGCTGAGGGCTGATACTTTGCAGTGAAGGGCTTAATTTTCACTCGTGCCTTGATTTTAGCCACCAATCAGATAACCTCCTTCTATAGTTAATTCTACCGGATTGAAGTCTGTTTTGCCCTCCCTGTCCCTAAACTCCAGTGCTTTGAAAAACTCTGCGCCATATCATCCTGAAGCGTTTTACAGAACATTATCAAGTGTTCGGCAGTTTCCTCCTCCTCTCCACACGCACTGCATACCGTGTCTACCCCTTCGTATTTGGCCCGATAAGTCTTGGTTCGCAATACTCCCGTCCTGGTCTCAAACAGTGGAGAACTAACCCGGGTATTATCATAGATCCTTTCCTTGGCAATTTCCTGCTTAATAGTTCGATAGATCTCTAGTGCGGACTTCTTAATCATGCCAATTCTCCACATTTCGGTCTCCGTTTCCTTCACCTTCTTCTTAACCGATAGTTCTTTTCGGTTTGGCCCCCTGGTCTTTTCTAAGTATTTACCTGTCAATTTTCTGGTTCGTTTCCTCCATTTCGTATCGACATTCCTCATGTACAAGTAGCTGAATACCTTCCTAGCCCAACGCTCCTCCCCCATTTCTCTCAGTCGCTTCTCAAATTTTATCTTACTGCTAGCTTCCCTTGCCCTCAAATGATGTCCATTTCATATCACCTAGTACTTCCTGATTTGGTGTATTCCCGTGAGCTCCCAAAGCAAGCCTACCTATTCCACGATGCTTAATTTCTAATCTTGCTTGAACTTCTGATCTCATGCACAAGACCGCATTGCCAAAAGTCAGACCAGGAACCATGGCCCCATTTCCATATTCCTCTCAGAACGATATAGTTATAGCGCGAGAACAGAACGACGACAAAAAGACAAGAAAGACTCGTCGTCGTTCTGTTCTCGAGCTATAACTATCGTCATGTCAAACCAACTAGCCCTAACTGCCACACTTCACCTCACAACATCATGCCTATTGTAATTTAACAGTGCCCTATTTTTCATCACCGCCGCATTCCTATTACCTTTAGTCGTTACGTGTATTTCGTGTTCTCTTATAGGTACTCGGTCCCATTGCTTATCCATACGCCCAGATATTTCTATTTATTCGTTATCTCTAGCGTGACCTCCTATATCGTAAGCTCACTACCTTCATTATCATTAAAAATCATGACTTATGATTTTTACTTACTTAATCTCAAATCTAACTTATCTCCCTCATTACCGCAGATGTCCATTAATATCTGCAAATCTTCTTTGTTGTCGGCCATTAGCGCTATATCGTCTGCGTACATCAATGATCGTAGTGCCTGTTGAATGAGTTTTCCTTGTTTAACGAAAGAGAGGTTGAAGCCAAGTTCACCCCCTCTAATTTGTCCTCTAATCCTTCTAGGTATACATCATGAATAACAAGGGTGACAGAGGGCACCCCTGCCTAAGCCCCCATTTTATCTCTGTGGGCTCGGATACCTGTTTTTCCCATTTTATAATTACCTTGTTACTTTTATAGATATCATTTAAGAGCTTAGTGACTCCATCCTCTACAAGTAGTGTATCCAGTATTTCCCACAAGTCCTCTTGAACCACGCTATCGTACGCTACCTTGATATCTGAAAATGCTAGCCACAGGGGCCTGTGTTCCTTTCCTGCTATTTCCATGCACTGCGTCAGTGAGAACAGATCGTCTTCCAACCTCTTTTGTTTTCGAAACCCATTCTGCAGTTCCCCCAGCGCCCCTTCATTCTCTATCCATACCTGCAGTCTTTCTTTTATAATCTGCACTACCAGCCTGTAAACCACTGATGTTACTGTTATAGGAAGATAGTTGTTTATGTCAGCTTTGTCCCCCTTTCGTTTATGAATCATGTTCATTCTGCTAAGTTTCCATTCATCAGGAACTTTACCATTCATTACTGTTTTTCTCGTCGCATCTCTCAAAGTCTGCTTAGACTTGGGACTTAATTCCTTTATCAGCATAATTGGGACGCCATCAGGGCCTGTTGATGTACTACTATAGGAACCCTCTTCTCTGCCCTTTCCCACTCTCGCTGTGAAAATGGAGCTACTGCACCACTTGATCCATCCTTGTCTATCAAGGTGCATAAGGCACTTCCTTGTTGAAAATTTTGTCATCCTTGCTCTCCTATATTCAATAGGTTCGTCCCCTTCTAGCCTTACACTTTGAACAGGCAGCGCCATCTCTGATAGAAATATAGAAATCGGGGTCGTATATCGCGCGTTTTCCCTTCCCGCCAACGGGCTCGTGCAGAGCGCGCGCGGTGCGTTCGAGTCACCTCACAATGTACCGTCTGCAGAGTGGCTTCGAAATGTTCTCTGAGCTGGACAAGCACTTCCGAAAAGCGAATCGAACAAACGGAGTGAAACTCGTTAGTCAGGTTTATGGTGTGGAGCAGACGATAGAAGACGAGGACGCCCGAGTCTTTGCTAAATGCATTTCTCACGTCCGTGACAATACCGTGTACGACGTATGCCTCAACATAAGTCTCATTCTGTCGACATGGAGTCGCGTACTTTATCGATATGCTGTGTCGACGTTTATGAAAATAATATAATTGTTGTTTTGATGTGGTATCTAGCAGTGGCAGCCGTGCATTGTCGTGTGCAACGTTTGCGGTGTGCTAAAATATAAATAAAGGGTAAAGTTATACAGTAGTAGCATTAAAATGCCAGAGAAGTTTTTGAGTCATGTCCTCCGTGCCGCGGGAGCATGACCCGCTGACTTCGCCACGAGGCAGCAGAGAGAAATATATGGTATGAAGAAAGGCAGAAAGGTTAACCGGCAGTAAAAATCTCAGCTTTAACCACTGCGAATCAAGTTGAAGTGCTCGCCTCGTGTTTTTTTTTTTTTTTTCCGGCTCACGCGGCTCTCTGTCCCCCGGCAAGTCCATGAAGGGCGTTTCTTGATGTTACCCGCATCGTTGTGGCACCCCACGACACAACAATAGGGAGTTCTGTCCAAGATTTCTCGCCTTTATGTCATGGTATTTGTATAGTGGCTAGCCACTATAATATTTGCGCTTAAAACTTAAATGTCAAAGTGGTGGCTCTGCCCAGCCTCGGCTTTGCTCGCCCTGAAGGTAACATGATGCGCCAGCATGTGCGCCGGGGCAGCTTATCTCCGCTAGGAGGCCAGTGGTGGCAGCGTTGTTTATGGGCGCACAGACGCATCGCCCCAGCGATCTTGCGACGCATCTGTTTGGGGCTTCGCGCATGCGCAATACCGCCGCCCCAACGTCCTGCATACGGAAGCCGCTTGAGTACCCAGCACTAAAACTCCCTAATAGTGCAGACCTCGCCGACGCTTCCGTGGGGTCGCTTCTTCCGTAGCGGAAAGGCAACTTCACACAGCGGGCGTCTCGTTTTAGCGCGCCAAGCTGACGGCACAGCTTCCCCCACCGACTACAGAACGCGTTCTGCGCGTGTCGCACGCGGAAACCCCGGCTCCGGGCGAAACGCAACGAATCGCTTGCGCCCTCTGCCGCGCCTATCCTCAGTTACCCCGGAGCTTGTCGCTTGAGCCAGGCGCGCCGTTGTCGTCGCTCCGCAAACTCGAGCACAGCGACTTGAGTTTTGGTTATCTATACAGTGCACTAGAAGAGATTCTTCTAGTTAACTATACTGCGCTCTACGGCACTTTCAATCCCTTCAGCGGAACAAAGCGTCACTCAGGGAATAGCACACGGGCACTTGTGGCCCCACCGCGATGCACGTCTAAGTGGCTAGGGCAGTCGGCTGCTGACCCGCAGGTCGCGGTATCGAATCCCGGCTGCGGCGGCTGCATTTTCGATGGAGGCGGAAATGTTGTAGGCCCGTGTGATCAGATGTGGGCGCACGTTAAAAACCCCAGCTGGTCGAAATTTCTACAGCCCTGCACTACGGCGTCTCTCATATTCATATAGTGGTTTTGGGACGTTAAACCCCACGTGTCATCATCATCGCGGCCACTTGTGGTCGCGGTCAAGGCTGATCGGAATTGGGCTCGATCCGCATCGGGCGCTGGAACCCAACTTTGACGCGATCAGGCCTCGGCATCAATCCATGCCGACGCAGCGGCTTCGTCTTGTCTTGTCTTCTAGGAGATCTTGGCTCATCTCTTTTTTCCGCAGCTTCCACGTGCAAAAGGCAATGGCGCAGCGTGCGCGACCGCTTCGTGCGTGAGGAGAGGTTGTGCAGGACCTCCCAACAACCGGTGAGCGAGGCCGAGCGCTTCGAAAAGTGGGGACTCTACAGGCACCTCGGTTTCTTGGCCAAGGTCTACAAGACCAGGTAAGAACTCTCGGTTCAGTTAGCTATAGCTCTCACTAGTTAACGAAATTATCTAAGTAGCTAGCAAAAGCGCATTAGTACGTCTCACCTACCTCTTAGTGGCCCGACCTAATTGAACAAAACTTCATTTGGGCCTAGTTGGTACATATTTCTGCGTTAAAATTACCAGCGCAAACACACGACACGCCCCCCCCCCCCCCACCACCACACAAAAAATACGCACACGAGCACTGAACTAACGAACCTTAAACACCTTCTTTGCTTGAATCGCAGTCCACATTAGCAAAAAAAATCTACGAAAAGAGGAGCAAGGCAGGAACCTATACCAATGCTATTGTGCTGCAAATATTACCGGCCATTTAAAAAAATAAATGTAACTTCGAGATAATGCTCAATAAGGCTAAAATTTTGTACACTGAAACACCGAAAAGATTCTGGAACAACACAGCACCGTTACTCGCAATGCGTTCATGCGCCGCAGACAAAAAATCGTGCTGTGGCACAGAACAGAACAAGTTAAGGAGTAGCCGGCGCCATAATGGTGCGCCAACATCTCCTTATATATCATATCAATAAAAAAAAAACAGAACAAGTCTTCTGTATCCACGGAAAAACCGTAAGCTACATTTGTATTCTCGCGCCAACACTAGCTTTTAGGTCAGCGTTCGTGTATCTTCTTTATTTGTGGGACGTGTTCTGTGTTTACGTAATTTTAATTAGGTCGGACTTAATAGGCCATGGCTGCATATGACCAATTAAGCAACGACTAATTAACTAGAGACCAATTAAGGTATGTCGCCACCTGTAAAAAACGGTAGATTTCCTGTCCCTAGTCTGCAAGACCCGGCAAGTCTTATTCGCCTTCATTTAAACGAACGCGGTCACTTTAGGAGCCCGGCTTGCGGTAATCATCCACACATTCCATATATGGCGTGATCATAATCGCGGCAAAGCGCCTAGTACCGGACATAACGAGGCCAGCAGTGCTCAAAAACGGGTTAAAATTAAGTAACAAGACCTACAGATGTATAATTAACAGAAGTAACAAAAAAAACGGCATCTTTACGGAGTGAATGGTGATGAGTGAGGCGAAGCGTCCGTCCGTCCACCTAGTGAACACTCCAAATACCGCCATCTCGCATCTTTTCGTGATATATTCATCATATACAAGTACCGCCATCAAACAACGATTATCGGATATAGCAAATTAATTTATGGTTCCCAAGATGCTTAATTACAATTTGGTTCGACTGTTTTTGTTACAAAAATCCCATTTCTGTCCAGGTTATGTTGTTCGATAACATATTAGACGAAACAATATTAGACTTACATTGTTCTGAATAGTGTTATTGTGTTGAGTGTGCCAAATTTTTGCTTTGTTCACGTGGACTTTATTACGCTGTTCTCTCGTGAAAGATGCACTTGGTGAGGATCCATGAAGATCGGGGAGAGGGGAAAATCTGTGGTCAAGCTGTTCACCCTTTCCCCCCCCCCCCCCCACCTTTCATCTTAACTCACAAATAATGTAATTTTGTTTAAAAGCGAAATCTCGGTTTTGCCGACTAAACACAGGAAACGTAATTTTTTTTCTTTTTTTTAAAGCGAAGCTGCTTCAGATTTTCGCAGCGCCGGGTAGTGAGAACATAAATTATCAACATAATGAACCGGCATGGGCTCGCTTCGTCATCTTCATCTTCAATCATCTTACGCTTCGCTCTCACAAGCGCGCCGATTTGTCAGGCATGCAGTGCAAGAACTCTGATGGGCGAGAGATAAAGCCATGCTAGTAAAGTGACTACATACTAAGAGATAGTTAACTGGACCACGAATAATTAAGTGAAGCTTAATTACTCTTCGCCCGGTTAGCTAGCTCTTAGTAGCTAACAAAAGCTTCTTAGTATACCGACTCTTAGTATCCTGACTCTTATTATCCTAGCTCTTAGGTATGCTTCTTGAACTTCTTAGTATCTAGCTAGCTCATATCCTGTCATAATCAAGCGAACAATAGGTAAGCCCGTTTTAATTAGGTCGGGGCTAATTAATTGGATACTAATTAAGCCAGGACTGATCTAGCCCAAGCCTGGAAAAAATTCGGAAAACGCAAAGTCGACCACAAGCGCTTCAGCATTTTCGTCCTCCATCGAAAATACTCGCGGGCCGTATACGCTTACATGTAAGTATAAAGTGCACGTGGAAAACGTTCAGGGTGGTCGACATTTCCGGAGCCTTCCGTTTCGATTTCTCTCATAATCGTATCGTGGTTCTGGCGTGTTGAGCTCCAACAACAAGTATTATTATTATTATTATTATTATTATTATTATTATTATTATTATTATTATTATTATTATTATTATTATTATTCACCACTGTCAAAAGGTGCCCTAATATTTTTTTTCTTTATCAGGCTTTGTGAAAAAAGTGCCCTCGGTCATGGCACGGCTACCGAAAAAAATTTCGTCCACGGCGGACGGCTGGGACCCTCGCAATCAACGCCGTCTCCTGTGCAGGTAATGCACACTGTGGCTACATTGTACCCAAGTGCACCTTCTTCTCGTGATTGGCTGATTTAATTGACGACGAACATGGGCGTAGCCAGGACCATTTTCCCTATTGGGGAGGGCGGTTAAACTACCCTATATGCTTGTTCACGCGTGCATCTGTACGAGCGCGTAATACAGGGCCCGTTTTTTTTTTTCATTTCATTTTATTTTTTGCATTCATACAGTATTTTTGTGCAAACAACTGTTGGGACAGTAGCGAAAGGCTAGTGTGGACCAATAGTCAATATACATATAGCAGCTACAACATCATAAATCCAATTCTCAGCAATAAAATCTTGATGTCGAGGCAAATTAAAAAAAACTCATCGTCAAATAAAAGCAAAGAGTGCATTCTACAATAACTCCCCAAAGAAATAATTTGGCACAGTATGAAATACATCAGAATTAAATTCGGGAAAATCATGTAGATCATCTAACAGCAGGCGCGAAATGATTAGTCATTTTTACTTCAAGGGGGGTACTGCGTTTCAAATTCGGCGCCATGAAACTCGAGTATAGTCGTTGGCCGTACTTGTTACGAGTAACTGGTGGGTTGAAATTTATATTTGTTGCGTTCCTTATGTTGAGATTAGGTGCAATGAACAAACTCGGTGATAACGAGTGATTCCCACGTAAAATATTATTACAATACCGCTTTTTAATAAGAGTTCTATTACAATCAGACTTGCAGTTCTCGCACATGAACTCTATGTCGAGGCGGAAATATTTTGCCGCAGTTAAAATGACACTGTTGCGACAAATTGAGAAAAACTTGTTTATTACATTTTTGTTAAGTATTCATTTCAAGGCGGGTGTTTGCATTACAAAGTTGTAGCGCGTGCCAAATTATGGCCTTCCATTTTTTTTTTTTTTTTGGAAATCGCAAAAATTTGCACGTAATTCCATATATTCTTCATCGTTTTTTTTCATGGGCGAAATCGAGGCTGATCTCGCCTGGCGCGCACAGTGTGCGTCGAAACACCGCAAGGACCCGTGACAAGAAAGTGACGAAATTTGAACGAAGGCGCGCCGAAGCAGAATAGGGTCAGGAAAAAGGAAAAAAAAAAGAAAGATTGGAGGACACTGTCATTTCCAAAGTGTGTTCTCGGCTGACTATTCCATGTCTTTTCTATTTATTTTGTGTATTTCATATTTTTACCCTATCAGCAATCACGTGATTGCTGAGAGAGAGTAGGATGAAAGGCCACAGCTGACACTGTTCATGGCACGGACGGACGGACGCAAGTGTAAGCCATTAAAGCAATCTGAAAAATGCAGAAGCCGACAGCGTATACAATGTTTGCGTTCGTTTAGCGGTGTTAGCAATAGAGAGGCGCGATGAATTGTTTCGCCCGTCTGCCAAAAGCGCCGCCTGGAGTTTTATGCATCCCTGACAAAGATAAAAAGGTTGACTTTGCCGTTATCGTGTGCACAGTTCGAAAGAAACGGATGTGCTCGAGCACCAAACGCTACGCGCAAGTGAGACGACTTGCGGGTTTTCACTAAATCCGCGCGGCGCGCCTTTATTCATATGTCGTCACTTCCTCTTGACGAGTAAGTTTTCGGCCTGACGTAACGGAACAGCCGTTTCTCGAGCGCGCCTTTTGCGCGATCAGTTTTTTATTTCGCTCTTGAAACGAATGCATGCTTAAAGGCATGCCCTTTGAAATCATGCGGTCACCACGCTTGGAGATGCATACATACCTGTGGCACGCACACCTTATTTCATATTAATCTGTGTCGGGTTTTAGTAATCTTGTTGTATCGGTGTCGGTACCTTTCTCGAATCGACCCATGATCAGAAATGTTTTGTCTATTTTAAACATTGTATCCAGTTTGACGTTCTTTGTCGCTGTGTAACCGCTTGCGCAAGTATGTAGGTATGTCACACAATTGGTCCCTCTACTAGCCAGTTAGCCTATATGGGACCAAACAAGTGTTTGCGAAGTTTTTTTGTTACATGGATGTGAAAGTTACAATAAAAAATGACCCATATGTCGGATATCGGGAGGTCCTTCTTCCAAATCGCAACGTATTAAGCTCACATTTTGTTCTGGCCATTGCTGTGAAGTGTCCAGTTGTGTGAGGGCGCATTTCGGCATGCGCAGCCTGTGCAGGCCGTCCAGCTGTTTCCGAGTCCGGCCGGGGACAAAGACGCCGAGGCCGCCGACTACGACACGGGATCAGAGTGCGTCATCTTGCACCCCGACGTCATCACTCAGAGTAAGTGACGTACGACTCCGTGCCAACCGGATCGTGACGTACATTGCGCTTACTGGCTATCCAGATTTGATGATGACGATATTTGGGGTTTTACGTCCCAGAGCCACGATATGTGATTAGAAGGGACGTCGTATAGTTAAGGGCTCCGGACATTTTAACCGTCTAGTGTTTTTTTAAAGTGCACTGACATTGCACGGGCCTCTGGCTTCCGTCGAAATACGACCGCCGCTGCCGAGATCGAACCCGCGAGTCAACATCCGATCACCAACCATAACCACCGATCCACCGGGGCGGACGGATCCAGATTTGAACTGGAAACTGGTGCATATTAAAGAAACGCTAAAATCGCACAATCAATCGCAACAAAGCGATAAAGCACATTAGGAGAACTCCACTGCCGTTCATTTCACCATCATAGGTTTGATAATCGAAGCGATAATCAAGGACCAATATCTCCAATCAAAATCACGCACCGGTATCCCCGATGGTGACGTCTGAGATTCCGAAGTTTTTTTTCTTTTTTTTTTTCATTTTGGCCAATTGCTTTAGCGTAACTTCCCGAAACTTGGTATGTTGTCTCTCAGTACCTCAGAAGACAATGTACGTACGTACGTCATTTTTTGCCGATTTCGGAACTACGTTGGCGACACCGTCAAAATTTTGACGTAACGGTGAATTGTGCGGGAACATCGAGGTGCATGGCGTCGCCAGCGGAATTTTCTGTTTCCGCGTTTTCTCGTTTACCGTGTTTTCGCAGCATGCGCGGCGTAGCACAGGACCACAAGAGCCGTCGCGTATTGGTGTAGCGAACGGTATGTTTTCGTTAGCGGCTTGCTGGTGCCCCGCCGCAGTGGTCTAGTGGCTAAGGTACTCGGCTGCTGACCCCATCAGGTCGCGGGTTCGAATCCCGGCTGCGGCGGCTGCATTTCCGATGGAGGCGGATATGTTGTGGGCCCGCGTGCTCATATTTGGGTGCACGTTAAAGAACCCCAGGTGGTCGAAATTTCCGGAGCCCTCCACTACGGCGTCTCTCGTAATCATATAATGGTTTTGGGACGTTAAACCCCACATACCAACCAATCGTTAGCGGCTTGCTCTTTTGACACCGAAGCTGTTTCAGCTGGCCGTAAAGTGTCCGACCCTATCTCGAAAAAAAAAAAATCTCGATGCGTCGTTGCCTAGCAATCGCTCGCACAGCTGGTGTGATGTCATGTCGAGCCTCGTGTGCGCCAGGCAACAACTGCGCTGCAACCGCGCCCAAGCTAAGTAAAAAAAAATAAATGCTCCGAGACCTTGGCTCTGCCATGGGTCGCCATAAAAATGTACGTACTCCCAAGGAGAAGGCCACGTTCGGCGAAGCTCTGAGACTCGCTGCTATGCGGGGCGTGCAATGGCAACGACAAGCCAATCCCGAACGCAGAGTCTGACCTGTCGAAAACAAGAAGCGTCGACGACGTCATGATCCGCAACGTCCCAGCCGTGTACGAGAACGTGGTACTGTGTGCAAACGGATGCGGTGCCAAGACCCATTCGTCCAGGAGGCAGAGTACGGGCGACGCCAATCTTACGAGACCACGAAGGTTATAACCTTGAAGCAGCCACTTGCAACCGCGATATTATACTATAACGAATCGTGAGGTCGACCACCTTCACTTCGCGTTAGCGGGGCGCGATCTGGTGGAAACTGCGCCCCCCCCCCCTTTTTTTTTTTCTGCAGCCGACACTGCTGTCCAATAACTTTTCTAGACTTTCGCAGAAAGTGAATCTCCCTTTTTCTTTCATGCCGCAGCTGCTAGTGCAATGACAGCAAAGACTGCCCATGCTTGGCTTCCGAGATCACGCGCCGACGGTATCTCTCCGGCCGTCCAGGAGAGGGCGTAATTTCAAAGGTGTGCGTGGCCCGCTCCTCCGCACCGCGGCGCTCGGCCGCCGCGCTGTCGGCGAGACTTGCGTGACGCGAGGAAAAAATTGGTTTTGCGCCGTTACCTGTACCTGTCGGTGATTTTGAACTGCCAGGTCAAGGTGTACGAGAGGCAAAGAGCGCGATTCCGCAAAAGAACTTCTGAACCTGTCCGCGCATGCCAAAACGTATCACTGCGAAACAATGTTTTATAAGAGAGATATTGCGCAGGAGTGATAACCGAATCACTCGCGAGATTGTGGAAGCTTACCACATGCATATATAAACCGAAGCGCGTGCGTCAGCCAGACCTCTATCGCTCTGCACGATAAGGAAGTGCAATTTTTGAATGTTGTAATCAAATGACACTCTTTCACGACATGTATGCGTGATGTGGTAATGTGGTGCATGTGTGCAAGAAATAGAACCAGTTGTCAGTCAGCGCTCGTGTGTGTGTGCACATCTTAGTCCTCCACCGGGTCGTGATTCCCGCATAGGTAAAGCGTGTTCGTCGATCATTCTAATGTACGTCCCTTGCCCGCGTTCGCTGACCAGGTGTCCTGCTGTCAATGGTGAGTGTGCCATCACCGGAAGAAATCATCGTCCCAGATCAGCCGCCGTCCATGGACGTCCACGTGCCGACGACTAACTGCGTAAGTTGCAGTCCTTCATTTTGGGGACGAAGCTCCTTCGGATGTGGGTCGTTCCCTCGGAGTATCTTGTAGTGTCCACTTCTCGCTAGTTTTAAGAATTGATCACTAGATGGCGTTATGTGTATAGTCATTGGAAATAATATCACTAGATGGCGTTAGCTGGTTTTCGTATAGTTGACGATTACGGAGGATAGATGGCGCTGTTATGGCTCGAAACCTCCTGAAATATACAGTAATGTGAGCGTATAGTGCACAAATGCACCTAAATGCAGTTGAACCTCCTCCCCGTAAAAAAAAAAAAAAGCGTGACTGATATCTGTAGCAATCGGTATAACAAGAAAGTGAAACGTGTTTTCACAAAGGTAGTTTAGCTTTTGTTGTGCATTGTTTCGACGCAAGGGCGAAGGAATGAACGCTACAGCGAAAATTACAAATTCACGCGAAGAACGGTAATCAGCTCAAAAGATGCAGCGCACATTTCTAACAGAACGCACGCCCGAAATCAGCGTACGCAGGACAACCACGGACAAACAACTGTCACAGCTCGACACTTAAAGCGCGGTGTTCAAACAGAAATACGCACGCAACGAACGCACAAGTACACAGGACAAGCGCGGGCAACTGCCACAATTCTTTACGTGTGAGCAGTGCTCCTATCGCAAACTCTGCCGCCACAGCAAGTGAGGTCACCTCGGTGCTTTCTCGATTAACGATTCTGATAAACGCGCGCGCGCGCGTAGGCGGGACCACGCTCAGTGGAGGCGCTGCTCATCGAAACGCGAGAAGCGACGAGCTTCTAAGCTCGCCCAACGCTTTACCCAACGCGCGTACTTCGTGCAGTCTCGCTACTGATGACGAAAACGCACTGAAGTCGCGAAGCTCTGAGGAGTGCCAAACACTATATTTCCACGTTCCTATTCTCAAGTTTTGTTATCGCCCCAATACACTACGTAATTTTCAGCGCAAACCGCGCCTGCAGTCTTCGAGAAGTTTCAGGACTGTAGTAGGTCATTTTTGTGAGACCACGCCCACTCCGCGAACTATACAGATTATTCTCGAACCTACGTCACCGCTAGCGATAGCACCTGAACATTCGATGGCAAGTGTATAAATGCCGACGCTCTGCTCGCCGTTATCAGTGCCAATGTCTTGCTATAATACGACTTTCCTTTTATGTGGCCACAAGTTGGGCCCGAATAAACAGTTTATTATACGACCACCCGGTCTCCTGCCTTCAGCCACGTCACGGCCCCGTGACAATATGGTGTATATGAATGCTTTGCCGCTGGCAATATCGAGTCGACAACGTACGTTCTGTGGCGTATATGGTTAGCGCCGCGCGATGAGGAACGAGATGTATATTAGTATTTGTTTATTAACGTCATATCTGTGACGGAAATACGTCAGCGGAGCCATGGTGGATCACGGCATAACGGACTTTCGTTTTAAAAATGTATTGCTGTACATGTGCACTCACACAAACATGCGAAAATTGGTTGAGGGGAAGGTCTGTATCCCATCTTCCTCCACTCCCAGCTGTACGCCATTGGTTTTGCTTCCCAACCACTTAAATCGCATGGCAATAGGAATTAATTCCGTCTGCGTTTCTCGTTCGCAGGGCTCAACTTCAGGGCACGAACAGACCTCGGAGTCTGCGCAGCGAGAGCCGGCCGCAACCGCTTTAAACCACGTGACCATCAAGGAGGAGCCACTTTCTTGCGTGAATTCCGAGGAAGAAACCGAAAGCGGCGGTGCACATCACGGCGCTGCCGCAACCGTGGCTCATGACGACACCTCGCGTGCCGCACCTCGCCGAGCTTCCTCCGAAGAGAGACAGGCGGCGCCACGCCGCAAGCGGAAGTTGCAGCCGACGACCACGTCGACCCTCAAGCGGCCACGACGCGACTTCGAAGCAGACAGGAGCGGGGGCGACGATGCCGTCGACAGCGCCGATGCCCTCCTGCGCCATCTGGCGCAGGCGACGGAGAGAGTCCGGGTCGCGGCCGACGCCACGACGACGTGCCGATTGATGCAACTGGATTCCGCCGACTCGGACATCATGTTCCTGCTAAGCCTACGAGAAAGGCTTAGGAGCTTCGGCCCTAGGGAGCGCAGCCTAGCACTAGTCAGGATTCAAGAAGTACTGCACGAGATAGAGTTCGGAACAGCGGCTCGTTGATTTAGTACGTATTTGTTGTAATTAAGTAGCACATATCGACAATCACCCCATCGTCGCGAGCCATTTTCATTTGTAATAAAAAAAATGCAAAAGTATAGTGTGTTGGAAATTAGCTGCAGATTGTGTGGCGTCTCGACGCTGGCCGCTCTCGGAAAAAAATGAGCACGGGGACATTTATTAGCAGAGTTTAGATAACTGCGAGCCTGCCAGTCGAATCTTATAATTAACTACACTAATATAATGACCATGTAACGTGAATGTGACATCATCATCAGATTGATTACGCCCACCTACTGCAGGGCAAGGGCATCTCCCATGAACCGACAATTAACCAGGTCTTGCGCTTTCTGCCGCCACGTTATACTGTAGAACCTTTTAATCTCATCGGCCCACCTAACTTTCTGTCTCCCCCTCGTGTGTGCCTCGTAGGAATCGTGCCTTCTCTGGGAATCCAGTCAGTTACCATAAATGACCAGCGTTTACCTTGCCTACGTGCCCGGCCTATGCCCAATTCTTCTTCTTGATTGCAACTATGATATACTTAACCGCAGTTGGTTTTTGAACCACTCTGCTCTCTTCTACGTCACTTAACGTTACACCTAGCTTTTTTTTTTCATATCACAAACATCCTTAAATAATTCCAATATAACACGCGCAATATAACGCACGCAATGACCGCGATTGCGGTGTCGCCGACGTTCTACTCACGAGGTCTGCCGGGCCCTCATTCTCGGGGCATGGGCTGTCGCAGAGGTTACCATAGGAGTCCTGGAATATACGAACCCTCCCCGCTTTCCTTGAATTTTCATAATAAAATGTTTTCATCATCATCATCGCGGAAAGCCCACAAGAACGGGCCATGGACTCGTCCCCCCGGACTACCGCGAGGGACCATTGTGACTTGCGTGCTAACAACCCCCCCCCCCCCCAAAAAAAAAAAAAAGCGTGCTATTCCTCGTGTGCATGTGTATAACCGGTCGCCGCCAGGGCGGCGCCACCGAGAAAGCATAGCGACATCTCGTACGTCGGCGAGTACCCTAAATACTCCTTAAGAAGCGCTGGCGCCATGAGGCGAAAACTAATTTACAAGTGTGAGCACCCTTGCAATTCCGTCGATACTATTAAGGAGCTTGATTTACTTAGCATTATAGTTCAGCATACTGTATTGTCACGGAATCGTGACGTAGACGAAGGGAACACACTATGTTCAGGTGAAACTCTTTATTCGGCCGAGCTTGTGGCCAGGAAACTGAAGGTTGAGACTACAGCAACACGCGGCCACTGATAGCGGCGAACAGAGCGTCGGCATTCATACGCGTGGAGTCAAACATTCTGGCGTTATCGCTAGCGAACGCGTAGGCTCCAGAATAATGTGTAATGCCCGCGAACTGGGCGTAATCTTGACAAACGATCTACTTTTATCGTGAACCTTGTAGAACAATAAGGTGTAGTTAGCGCTCTGAGCATTCAACACAGGCTTTGTGGCCGTAAACCGAATGAAGCGTAAGTGTACAAAAGAAACCCGCGTGGCATCGCCCCCCCCCCCCCCCACTCAAAAAAAAGCATTGTACCGATACTCAGTCTTGGGGAAATACATGAACAATAAGAATAACAATAAAGGAAGAAAAAGGCGCAATAATAAAGTACAAACAATAAAGTACAATAATAGAGAAACAACAACAAAGAACACAGTCCTTAAGTTCGTTAACGAGCGTGAAACGGCTTGAGGCGCACGATATAAACTACTCCAGGTCGCGCACGCCACCGTTGAGAGTTCGTGATGCTGTCGGGGTCAAGCTCATAGTCGAGTGTGCCGAGACGTCGAACTACTACCCATTACGGTCCGAAGTACCGTCGCAGAAGTTTTTCACTGAGGCCACATCGACGTCAGTACCCAAACGCGGTAGCCGGGCTGGTATTCCGCGACGTGTCGCCGAGGATCGTACATAACGGAGGCTGTCGATCGTCTCTTGGTTCTTGATGCGGAGACAGGCGAGTTGTCGGGTTTCTTCGGCGCGCTGAAGGTAGACAGTGCTGTGTTGGGGGCTGGCTGGTCCCGACGAAGCAGAAGAAGAAGACGGCCGACGGAGGCGAACGCGGCCGGCGGAGACGCCGACCAGCCCGAACACGCGGGTTGGCGCGAAGCGCCGAAGAGAAGAACAACAACCACACTCCACGGTTACCCAACGCACACTCGATTTATTTTACAGTCGCCTTGAAATCCTGGATGCCAGAGCGGCGCCCCCTGGCATCCTCACATGTCATTCCGAAACCGAGAACCCAGAACACAACAGACAGTCACGTCGAGGTTTCGTTCGTCAGCGACGTTTGGTATAGCACATGGCGTCGAATGTCGTGGCCGGGATCCTTCCATTGACTAACTTGTATGGCGACACTCTGCGTCGTCTCCTGCACCTCCGTGTTGTATGCGAAGGTCACGTACGGAAGGACATACTCGCGGCTAGGCCGTAAGAGCGAGCACGCGCCTCAGACCGGCCATGGCGTGCTTTACCTGGCTGCGTCTGACACCTAACCAAGGCGGACCAGTATCCATTCTTTTAGCCTCGTTAGCTCCGCGGTGTTTTCCCGGTTAACTGCACAAAGCAACCTTTAAAAACCTTGTCGGTTGCCACGGGCTTTGAACGGTGCGTGCAACCTGATGGAACGAGCGCCTATCCACGCAGCGTGCAGAATGAATGATGCATTGAATAAGTTCATCTGCTCAGCGATATCACGCTCGTATAACGCCACAAGTCCCAGCTATAGCTGGCACAAGATGTGAGAGGGAAGTGGCCACTTGGGTCTCTCGCTCAATGAATCCCGGCGCGTGTCCATCGTGCCATTCCAGCTTCGATGATCGTCATGTTCTACTTCGTTGAGCAGCCGCGGTGACGCTGAGCGCTATCGACGAGATCAGGGCGGTCGCATCGCCGGTGACAACACGAGTTTACGCCGAGAGACGCTTATCACGTGCTACAGCTATGGCGTATGTAAATCACTCGGTGAAGACTATCTGGAATTGCACGAAAGGCGCGGGCCTATACGAAAGTGGCCTTACGCACGGTGTTTGTCAGAAACAAGCGCCGAACAATGCGCGCATCGCCGATTTTAAACGGCATTACGAAAACCTGGCAACGATCGTTAACTGCCACGCGACAGAGCGAGCATGTGTAAAAAACAAAACAAGTATCAAAAGCGCCGAAAGCGCGCCCCTTAGCCTCTCCGCAGCAGGGGCGTAGGCACAAATATTTTTCGGGGGGGGGGGGGGGAGGGGACAGATTGATTCATAGGGCTTGATTTATAGGCAGATCCGGTCGAGTTTCATATCGTGCTATCTGTATGCTATGGCAAATGAAATCGCGGGGGGGGGGGGTGCCACCCCCATGACTATACCACTGCTCCGCACATATGGCACCCTCTGGCGGAAAGTTTGCTGCAGCGTCATGCCTCCCGTCTGAGCGTTTGAGAAATCAAACCGGCGCCGTCAGACTAGTCTGTGAGATGGATCTAGCCCTTTATATATAGTTTTCACTGTGCACGATAGCGATTGTGCACAGCGGCAACAGCAGACAAAGGCGGCATCAAAATAGGCGGTTGTGTGACCTCATAACAGATTTCACTATAAAAAATGAAACTCTGACCCCGATTTTCCCTCATATTGATAAACGTATGAGGGTGAAATCAATGACGTTGGAGTGCTCAAGACCCAACTTATCGATCTGATTCGGTTCATTTTTCACACTATATAGTGCCCCTTTGCACTATATAGTGTCCCTTGCACTATATAGTGTCCCTTGCACTATATAGTGTCCCTTGCACTAATAGTCTACATACTTAACGTTTCATATGAACAATGCTTAGCCAATGCTGCAGCGTGTGCAAGACACGTGTGAAAGAGCATCATCATCATCATCATCATCATCCACTACAGTGGGTATGCGCCTTATCAACGAGGAAACAAACAAAGCGGCGCGGCGTCCGACCCTGGACGCCCTGGTCAGCATGGGCCTTCTGCTGGCCGTCGGCTTGTTCGGGGCCCTAGCCCTGCGCGTCTGTCAGGACCCCGACGACCCGACCGTGGCCGAGGCGCGACGTCTGCTCCGCCAGATCGACGCGTACGAGGCCCTCGTCGAAATGTGCGTTCCTGCTACTGCGCGCAAACGACCGTGCCGTCGGCTCTGGACGACGTGCCGGACCTGACGGACGACGTTGACGAGAGGGCGGACCGCAACCTCGTCTCGCAGATTGCAGCCCAGCTGACAACGAGCCAGCGGAGGAGCTTCGCCGGGCAGTACGCTTGAAATAAGCACGCCACAATGTCGTTGAACCCTGAAGAGTTGGCGTGTACGTACGAGTCACAGCCTTCTATGTTTGGGCTGTACGTTGATTGGCTGTGCCCTTGGTTTGACAAACCTGACGGGGCGAGCGAAGTACCAAGGCGACTCGACCATATGCTCGTTTCGAAAGCTTACCGAACGTTACAGCAATATGTGTGTCGTTTTCAACCAAAGGACTTGAGTAACAGCATCGTTACTAGCTATATAGACTACGTTCCATGCGTCTGCCTCCTGCTTGATCGATCTGACATGACTGCAGACTTTCGAAAGCGAGTAGAGAAGGCCGTACTCTTATTTGAAAGCTTAACATAAATGCCAGCATCGTGGCAACCCCAAATGAATAATGTAACATATTTTCCAGCTATCTAAACCGTACGGCCCGTCCTGTTGCTAGACCGATCAGACGTGCTAACCCCAGGTTAATCAACCGGAGGCTTGCTTCGAAGCTTACCCAACAGCTCGTGACGAGAGGGTGATGGTATAACGCAAAACCTTTGAACTATATGTGAAAGTGCGAACACAGATGGCGCTCCTCCACGTGCTTCTTCGCCTATACAGAGTTAGATCGGCCGGACAGTGCGAGCGACGCGCCGAGGTGATCGAGTCTTGGAACGACTTGTCAAGAGCCTCGCCACCCAGCTACAAGAGAGAACTCCGTACAAAAGACAAAAGCGCGGAGCCGCTTAAAAGACGTTCGCCTGCCTGCAGTACATATACGTACATGCTTACGCTGCAAGCGGTGTTATCGCTATACCTGCCTGGCGCATGTGCATGTCTGCTACGAGTTTGATGTGCACCATGACTTCCTATCCCACGCACATTCGTTACTCGCGCTCAAGGCGAAAGCAGCGATCGTGTCCTGCACTTAATAGCAGCTGTGCCATCTAAACATGCTTACTGCTATGCCTTTCTCCGGAATACTTCAAAAGGCCTGTTGTTTCGATAGCAGCCCACTGCCCGGCGGCTACGCCTAACCTCGCGTCGCACCCCTATTCACCTGGCATGCGTTCTAGGCTCGCTGCTGAGACAGAAGCGGACTCGCAAAACTGCTGAATCTGTGTGCGTATAGATTTGTTGGTGTGTAATCAATGCGCTGGTCGCATGTATATGTCTTCTCTCAATGTCACGGATCCGCCAAGATATTTAGAGACAAATGAACGCGCGGCCGTGCACTAGTTTTTATTTATTAATTTAATTTATTTATAATACCTCAAGGGCCCCAGTCAAAGGGTGTTACATGAGGGGGTAGACAGTTCACAAACAGATGGCTTCTTTGAAATGGGCGATGCTGGAGTGGTGCGATGTCAGCAGGAAGATCGTTCCATTCTGTTGATGTTTTCACTCTAGCTGCTCGAGAATTCAGCTCCGTTCGTTCTGCTAAAACATGCCGAGTACCACCGTTACTTAAATGTCGTCGTCATGTTTAACATTCGGTTACAATTACTTGTTAAGGTCATGTGACTTCTAATGAAAACATTCTAATAAGACCTCGTACCTGTATACCTAACAGTATTGAAGAAGCATGTAATACAGTTACAGCTAGGCATAGTTCGCTGCAGCAAGAGTTCATGCATCTGCGATATATGCGCCTATGGTACCTAGCTATAAGAAAATGAGATTTGCAGGCTCCAAGCAATGGATTAATAAATGCTTAATCTGACTCTGTATCAATGTCTCACGATTCTTCGCGATCAGGGCAGGGCGTATAGCTTCAACATTAGCAGCGGTTAAAGAACCACTGTTATAGAATCACTGATCTACAGTGTAGCAATAAATATTGTAACCAGTACTGTCATCAACACAGTTTACAAACTAAAGCTATCTCTGCATGGCCCGTCTGGCAGTCCAGAGGGTAGACTTCTGTGCAAACGTAAAAAAACGTAACTCATGAAGGCGCCTCTAGCGGCAACAAGTGCAGATTTGGAATAATGTTGGGCGCTCGCACAGGTAACGGCGCCTTTTCCGATGCCAATGCTTTTCTTGCTTTTCGCGCTTGTCCAGTGGCTAGAGCAACGGTCCGTCCACGGTATATGAACGCGATCAGCCATCCGCGAGTGGATCACGATAAGAATAGCATAGCGCAAAGCATCACTCCGCGATAGCACCCCTGCAGCAGCAATGACAATGCAATCGATGCTGTCGTCTGTTTCAAGCTGCCACCGAGTTTGATGCTGCGTTAGCCCGAGGGTGATAAGCTGTGATTGCTTAGTGAGCGAAGCGGCCCGCGCTACACGCATTCAGTTTGGCTCAACGGGCTTGCGGTTGCCGTTTTCGACAAGAATTCGATGTGGCCGCGTTCGCCTGAGGGTGCACGAATTCAGTCGGAAAAAAAAAAAAAGCACACGGCGCTAACACTGCGGTTTTCTCGCGGCTGCTAACGATTTACCGTTTTTTCGAAAGCAAATGGGAAAGGAAACTCCTCAAGCGAAGCACCAAAACACGTAGCAGTGGCTTTGCCGCTTGCGTCGTCTGCTACCGCATCCTGCCAAATCTGCTGCAGTGTCCGCACTGGCGCTGGAGGCAGGGCGCCACTGTGGCGGCTCCACAGTGCCTACAATCTCGCACTGTTCGCGGCATAGTCATATTAACTGTATGGTTCGTGGAACCAAAAATAATGTAAATAAGCTGATGCTGTTTACACGTAGCAGTGGCTCTACCCAACGCCTTCAGCTGCTGAAACCCACATGCGTACAAAAAAAAAAAAAAAAGGATTGGGAGGGGGGGGGGGGGGTTGGGTGTGTGGCTTGGTTAATTCACACGAACAGGCTGCGCAGAACCTAAATTAGCGCTCTAAGTTATAATGCCTGCATTCTAGGTTGCAATAAGCCCGTCCATCATGCTTCTTTCTGTTGATACTTGACGACACCACATAGGATAAAAATGCGTGATAATGAAGACTGTGCAGACATCACTTACTTCATTTCGGCAGCTGCTCATTGCTGTCTCTCTCCGGTTCTTGCGATTTCTAAAGTACTGTGACAGTTCGTAACGCCGCAGTTCCAAGCGCCGGTTTTCTAGCATGACAACGGAGCTGCAGCCACAGCGAAAACAACGCCAGACATAAGCAATAAGAGCGCCCAGAACTAATTTTGCCGCGCGCACGAAGGGAAACTCAAGTAGTCCAAGCAAACGCGCCCGCCAAAAGTGATTGAAGGTTTGAACTCTCTCCGCTTGAATGGCAAACAGCGCTACTTTCCTGCCAGCAACCCAGTTTCGTTTTCGATATTTTAATTTTGTCACTTCTCTTGTTATTGCCGCAAAGCCATCAGCAGCCAAGCCAATCCAGTAGCAACGCAAAAATGGCAGCGCCCTTTAAATGTGTGTGACCGAGTGCGGTTGAAGACGCGCGATGAATTCGTGAGCGTTGAATTGCGTTTTCGCCTAGTTTCTGTCACGTTTGACTGATTAGCGGACACGGATACGCGATGAGCGGGCGGCTCGTAACTTTGTGTCAGGGTATGGGACGTTTGGCGACAAACTTTCTGCGCGTGCAGCCGGCCGGCGGCGGCAGGTACGCGTTGCGGCCCACGCTCCGTGCAAACAGTTCATCCGTGCAACCGTCGGCGAAGCTGCCTTTTGAAGTGGACACTAACGTCGCCAAGCACACGGAGATCTACCGCTACGACAACTTCAGAGTGTTCGCGGCACTGCGGATGTTCACGGTTTCGCAGGCTTTCCTGTGGGCCTACATGGCCCAGGTCTGTTACACGATCACCGATCCTAAGGAGGCCCCTCCGCCGGGCGCAGATACTAGCGGGAGGTTTGGCGGATTGTTCCAGTTCCTCCGCGAGCGTTTGACTACGCAGCCGTACCGCTATGGCCTGGTCGTCTTCTGCACTGCTGTGGGTAGGTATCGGAGCCGGCAGAACACGCTGACCTTTCGGACTTACTGAACAGCCGAGCGCATATCTAGTGCGAGACATAGAAAGACACGCATAGCACAAGACAAGTGCTGGCTAATTGTAAGGTCCACCACATAACAAACGTATCATGCGTCATTTTTTGCTGGGCTAGTTGGTTCACGATGCTTGTACACTGTCGTCCTTTATGAAAGGGAATACGCGAACGCGTGGCCTGCGCTTTTCCGCGGCTGCCTACAGCGCCATCGACCGACAAGTAAAGAAAGCACGTTCGTTTTTGGCGTCATCTATTGCCAAGCAAGATGATGAGTCATGACCGGTAGATAATAGTGGCTAGATTACGTTCCCTCGCGGGGTAAGTGATATCGGGCGATTACTGCAGCTTGCGTCGTGGTCGCGTACAACGTTTGATAATGGCTGTGGACTACGCACTGTAGGCGTGAGCAGAGAGGGAGTGCAATCTAGCAGCGCTTGTATACCAGCCATGACTCGTGACACGAAATCGCTCATGCGCGCTATTATTCGTGTGTGCAGTGTGGCTCGCTGTGTGATGTTATCACAGCGTCGCACATGGCGGTACCCTGTGGCGAGAAGCACGTTTGATCCGAACGCGGATCTTGATTCATGTCGGCCAGTAGCATGCTGTCTGCTCCTTGACGTCAAAAAGCAGCTGCCGGCAGCTCTGAAGAGAGTGAGAAGGGCCTCTGCATGGAAAAAGGGTGCCTGAGGAAATGGTTAAACTGCGCTCCGCTTCCAAACTCGCCTCGCTGCGTTAGACCACAAGGTTTGGCAGAGCTGTTCATAGCGGTGTCTTTTTTTTTTTTTTTTGCTGGTTATGTTTTTCCCCTAGCATTGAGGATGGTTGGTGATTCATTTTAACGCATTACTAAGTGGGTACCAGGCTTTCATCTTCAAGTGAACAACTGAACTTTTCATGTAATTTACCAGCTCCACCGACAGTCTGTCATTCTTGCTTCCCTGTTCAAACTGTACAGGCACGGTGGTTGCTGTGGGAAGCAGCATGTTCGTTCTGCGCAATGTGCGTTCCCTGGTGTTGATCAAGGGTGGCCAGCGAGTCGCTGTGCAGACGTACGCGCCATTTAAGGAGCTGCGAACCTTTCAAGTCCCGCTGGAGCACGTTAGCTGTGGCCAGTCGCGACTACAGAAGTCCAGCTACATCACGCTCAAGATAAAAGGTCACCGGATGCACTACGTGCTTGACCAGCGGGGCCTCTTCCGCATCCTGAGCTGTTCGACAACACGGTTGGTATGGCCAGGAAGTTGAAGTGAAATGACAGCAACTTAAGAGACTGCTGAAAATCATTCGTTAATAGTTCGAAACGTTTCTAACCATGCACAGAATGTACACTGTATGTTGTTGTGCCTGATATTTGCGATATAGATTAAATAAAGAGGACACCAAAGCGAAACAAAGTGCCCACTATGCTATGATTCTTCCTTTTGCAAATTGGTGAATTAACCACTACAGCTGAGGCCCGTGTGTTTAGATTTAGGTCCACATTAAAGAACCCCAGCTGGCTGAAATTTCTCGAGCCCTCCACTACTATGGCTCTCATTAATCATACTGGTAGTTTCTGGGACGTCAAACCTCGATAATTACGTATCATTAACCACTACGCAAGTTGGGTACCACGCACACCTGCGCGGCTGCACACTTTGTAATGGGTGAGCAGCTTTGAACCACCCGCTCAGTGTACGATTCTGGTGCAATTCTACCGTGCAATTTAAAGAGACTTCCCACCACATGACATTCTCATACTGTTTTTTTTTTTTTATGAAGCAGTTCTGAGCAATGGCTTAACTGTGTGATGGCACACCTGCTTGCTATGCAAGCAGGTGTGCCACCACACAGCCATGCCGTGTTCAATTCTCACATTCAATTCAGAAGGACCGAGTTCAATTCTCACTCGGACAGGATAGTTATTGTGGTTATTTGCTTGCATCTATCTCGATTTTTTGCTGCGAACTGCCGACACTGGCATTTCTGTGAAATGAGCTTTAACACTATTGAGTTCAAATTTCCTGTATCTTGCTACGTCAAGTCTCTAGTTGCCACAGAGGATAACGTGCTTCACTCTAGCCATATAGGAATTTCATAGACGGTGTCAATATCTATGACATCGCAGCAAGTTGGTGTGGGACCCTCTACGCAGTATCACAACTTGGCTTCCTCCAAGTTATACACCACTAACCATGTGTTTTCTCACTGTAAAAATTTTGTTTTTGGTACAGTGTAAAGATGTTAACTAATGTGAAAAAAAGTTTTCTCAAGGATGGGGCCAGGATTTTTGCTTCAACCTAAAACATTCCATATGTGTCCGTTAAAAGAGCCATATGCAGCGACTTGTTACTACCCCCCCAAAAAAAGGGAGGGGGGTGAGGAGGGCAACCACAGGAAATGCCTTTCTTGAGATAATACCAGGAAGGCAGGGAACTTCTATGTACTATTTTGAATATGTTTGCTCTTTGGGTATGCGGGGGGGGGGGGGGGGGAGCAAAGAGGGCCAGGCAAAAGTTTTGGAGGGGGGCAGGTGCCTTTCCCCTCCAGCTTTTCTCTTCAGCCTGGTAGCAGTTGGGAGGTCATTGAGTGGATCTATCGATATCGCCGCAGAACAACATGGAGAAAGCGAAAATCGGGTGGGTTTTGCAAAACATTCTCGAAGACAAGAAGTGTAGACTCAACATTTGGTCACCACGTCAGAACACGGTAGGTCTGGTGCTTCCCCCTACAGTAGTGAAAATATGACAGCATAGCTAAACAGCCTTCTCAGCCACGGTACTGTTCCTTTGAAGTCATCATCATCATCATTTTCAGCCTGTTTTCATGTCCGCTGGATCACAAAGCTCTTGTCGATTTTCATTGACCCCATCCTATGTGAGGTCATTCCATTTTGTACTTGCAATCTCTCTGGTGATCGTTCCTTCATCTAACCCTCGGCCATCCTCTGCTGCATCTCCCATTCCTTGGTATCCATTTCATCTCTAACTGACCGAACAGTTTTTAATTCGTTCACATTATGTGGTCTGTGTGTGTCCGCTTTCTTTTTCTTAACATCAGCTAGAATGTCAGCTATCCTTATTTGTTCTTTAATCCACTCTGCTCTCTTCCTGTTTCATCATATTACGCCCTTGGTATTTAGTTCCATCGCCTACTGTGTGGTTCCTTACTTCTCGAGTTTCTTTTTTATCTGAACAGTTATTACCCTTCTCATGTGAGTATGTGCCACAGGAATTGGACATGCTCCACTACTGTGTAAAGCAAGTGCAAGTGCAAATGAAAATTAACGTGTGAAATAAAAAAAGAGAGACGAATAAAGAGATAGAAAGAATAGGCAGCGCAAAATGAAGAGCACAGGCATAGAAAAAAAATGGAAAGGTTAGAAAAAGAAACACTTCCAGAAAAAAAGAGAGCAAGGCAGAAACAGAAGTAAAGAGAGATAGATAGACAAACAGAGAAAAAATATACAAGAAAGAGAAGAACAAAATATAGAAACAAGGAATCCATTCCTGCCACCCCCTTGCTTTCTGGTTTGGTACCGTTAAATCGAGGGTGCCATAACTTTTTACTGCTAACAGCGTACAATAGTTGCAGAGCTTGAATTTCTTGCCCATTATCAGGGAATGTCTGTAGCAAGCGCTCTAGCCCATTATTATTCTTCGATACATTTCCCTTTCACAGGTAGGCGCTCCTGTAAGTAACTGCCTCAAGTACACATACTCTTGTAACAACTCCAGATGTAGGTTGCCAGCAAAACTGTTGGTTGCCAGTCACGAACTCACTCTCTTTCACTAGGTCATAATCTTTCTCTTTTCACATTTCATATTTAGCCTTACATTAGTACTTTCTCCGGTTTAGGTCTTCATTCATTTCTTTCAGTTCACCCTGAATCCAAACAGTGATATGTCATATGCAAATTGTAGGTTAACAAAGTATTTTCCTTTGACGTTTATTCCCAGTCTAGTCATTTGAACATTTCCGAACATGCGGTGAACAGCAATGTAGCGACTGCATCTCCCTGTCTGACCGCTTTCTGAGAAGCAAAGTAGCAGTGGAGTCTTTTTAGATGCTGGCTAAGATATCTCCACAGTTGAACACACTAGTACAGAACTCGCTAACAAACTATCCTATATATTGATGAGCTACAGAATTCCCCTGAATGTGTATTGATCTCTTTCATCATCTTATTCAGATTCAATACATCGAGGTTTTTCAAATACTCCTTGGTAACGGAATGCTTCTAAAAACCGCTGGCATCTCTACCCTGTCTAACGCCTTTTCCTAGTCTGAAAGCTAAGGAGCAAGCTGTATTTCGATAATTGCTCAATTACCTGGTTGATTACACCACTGTGATCTATCGTGCAATATATCTTTTCGAGAAAGCAACTCATCTCGAGGCTGGCTGAAGTGAGGCGTTTCTTTAAGCTCTGGATCCAATGAAATCTCTCCAATCCTGTTTGAAGTTAGCTTCTTGCGTATTTCGAATATCACCGAAAACAAGCTGGTGGTCAGTGTTTCACATGAAAGTCTCTTATCTTGTGTATTGATGTAATGTTGGCATTTTTCAGAGATCACTGGTACCACTGAAGTGTGAACAAGTAAAAAAAAATCGAAGCTTCCGCTTCTTTGCAGCTGACCAAACCACTAGAAGCACAAATGTAGTCTATGTATTGCTGTTTCAATATTTTGATACCTTCTTCACATCAATGAAATTTCTGCTCGTGCTGTCCTTATTTGCACTATTCAGTAGCGCTAATGTATTATTCAGTATTCTATAGTACTTTGTTAAAGGAACGCAGGAAACCTGGAGTGGGGGCAGCGTATTTGAAGACATAGAAAGGGACCTCATTTTTGTGCACATACGACATTGTTCAGTCCGTTCTTCAATATGGATTCGTGTTGGAAAACCACAATGACAGAATGTATGCATCGCCAGTGACGAGTCTGCGTGAGAAAAAGCATAATTTCTCTCTTTTCGATACACGAAAGTAGCTGCTACAAGTTGCTATTGACAGACCACTGCTGTTTAGAAAGCGGCATACATTTGAATTAATTTGTAGTTTCCAATTTATTTCCATATAATCTTCCGATGCTACGGTTATCATAATTACATTTAACCCTTTGCCAGCATTAAGAGCCAAATTCAAGCTTGTAAAAATAAAAAAACTGCCAGGCCTCCGCGATCCGTGCGGCACAGTCACATCGAAGCTGGAAGAGCGGCATTTCAGATTCCTTTTTAAGCACTGTTTGGGTAACTGCTACAAGCACACTTGCAAAGTAACCACTACACCAAAAATCATCATTTTTGTGTAGTAGCGAGGGATTCGATTAATTCGGTTCCTATGCAATATGGCACAAAACACACCGGAGAGAACTGGCCAAGAAAGCTTAGTGTGGTTGATCGATTGCCCCTTTTAACCTGGCACAACCCACCATGAAAGATATGCCGTACTTCGTCATTCTTCAGAGAAGCGTGTTAACCGCTGCACAATCGTTAAGAATTTTGTATAGTTTTTTCATGTTGTCCCTGACGAAGATGAAGAATTTTGCCCGAAGCTTTTGTAATGGGTTGGAGCATTTGACGACCCACTCGTTGTGCGACACATGGTTGTTCTTTTGCTGTTCTAAAACTTTATGAATCAAATTAACGCGATTTCTGTCCCAACATGAAGCCTGCCTAAGACTGGTTTACAACAAAGTTTGAAGCACTGCCGTGGCTCGGTGGTAGAACACTGGGCTGGCACACAGTGGACCTGGGTTTGAATCCCATTGCAATTTTAGCGTTTTTTATTAACATAGTTTGTTTTTTCTTATTTTGTGCGATAGTGGCTACACACACCGGCAGCGGCGAAAAACAACGGCGCATGGGACGCTTAGCCGTGATCTCATTAAACAGCCTCTGCTGTAAAAGGAACACCACGCACCATTTTACACATCTCTATTTATTGAAATACGTTCTCCATTTCAAACAGTTAAAAAAAAGAAGGTAAGAAAGAAGGTGTCCGGTTTTTCTTTTTTTTTCCTATCTAAAATATGCAGTAGACAAGAATTTCCATGAGCTGTGGTTTGGCAATGGTATTGGCATCGACACAAAAGGACTGCCCTACAGTATACCGAAGAGACGTAACACTCGGTTTTAGAAAAAATGTGCATATCAGTAACGTTATTCTTTCTCCTTTTCTTTTTTTTTGTCTCCAACAACAGTATAGACATCATATTTACACAGACACAAAAAAATCCTCACGCACACACTCATACACACACACAAACGCAGAAGTGGTTACTCTCACAGAAAATGTGCTCGCACCGGCCAACTGGTCATCTTACAAATTCTCTAAACCCTATACACACACGGCCTCGTCTTTCAGGACCTTCCAAAAGCCATAATGCCACACAAAAGACGAATGCCAGTGGT